CCCCCCCCCCCTTTTTTTTTTTACAACCTCTTAATTTGACAAATCAATGGTGTGTGGGACAAAAAAAAGGCACATTCAGGACCTAAACACAGAAGGCATGAGACGTACGGTACGGGTGATTGACTTGCGACCGGCCGGCTTTGGGAGGAGGCGGTTTGAAACTTATGTCAGGTCCGATTGACCGCCTTCACATTTAACCAACGTGCAATCAGGTCCGATTGACCGCCTTCACATTTAACCAACGTGCAATCAGGTCCGATTGACCGCCTTCACATTTAACCAACGTGCAATCAGGTCCGATTGACCGCATTCACATTTAACCAACGTGCAATCAGGTCCGATTGACCGCATTCACATTTAACCAACGTGCAATCTTCCTCCCCTCTTCTAACAAACATAAAATAAATAAAAAAGCATCATACTTTTTTTGTTGTTGTTGGGGTGGGGGGGAGGAGGGGGGCGAACAACAAATATCGCCTACTTGGCTACCAGCCGTAGTTCACCACCTTTATCTGGGAATACTTTTTAAACATAAACCTGTTTAATTGGGCCAAGGATGAAAAAAAAACAACAACAAAAAAACACGAAACCTGATTAAAATGCAGTGCCCCGTAACTTAAAGGGTCATCCATAAATAGCGTATTACTATTTTGGCCGATCTTGAACCCCCCCCCCAAGCCCAAACCACTCATTTGTATTTTCCTGAAGCCTGAAGTTCATCTAAAAACAAATTTCGTGGTGGCTAATTAATTTTTAATGTTAACTTGTCAGTTTAGTTTCATACCTAATTCGAATTACATTCTCTTATAAGAAACTGACGGTTAGGCCTAACATAACGCAGAACCGTTTATTACAAAGTGAAATGCTTCACCGGCCGAGATTTGGTGTCCTATGAGTCTGCTATGAGTGTTGTGTTTCTGCGTTCAGGTGCGTCAACAACAGACGCTTCGTCTGCAGAAGTCCTAAGACCAGAGGCGTAGCGTGGTGGGGGCAGGAGGGGACAGATGTCCCCGGGCGCCAGCTAGTTAGGGGCGCCAAAATGTGCTTTGATATTATTTTATTGATGAAAATAATGGGTTTGAGAGTTGAAAAAAATAAAAAGGGGCGCTAAATATGGATTTTGTCCCCGGGCGCCAAACACCCTCGCTACGCCACTGCCCAAGACGAACCATTCCGCTAAAGATGATAATAACCTGAAACCCAAAACCAGCCCTCTCCACGTCTTCCAGACATGTCTTGCCCCCACCCCTCTCCTTCCTCCTCCAGTAGCAACTGTTGCGCTTCAGCGATTACAACTCGAGGAAGCAACATAGTTTGGGCGAGCCAACTATAAAAATGGGGGAAAAGGGTTGTGAATAAGGAAGATTAAAAGCACATATTTTGTTTTGAAATTGCACTTGAAAATGACCACTAAATTACATTGCTATTGTTTTATTGACGCTGCATGTCCACTACTATAAATTCCGATTCCACTCGTGGAAATCTAGGCTCCCCCTCCCCCCCCCACCCCGCTTTGAACTTTCGCCCCTCGTTTCATTTCTCGCCCGCTCTCAGCCACGTCGGCGCATGCGCAGTGACCCCACGTGTTCATAAACAAAAAAAAGTTTGGTGGAGAGGAGAGAGAAGGGTTTGCTTAGTGTGACTTGTGGTTTGTACGCTTGGGAAGTTCTAACATTTTCTTAACTCGGGGTAGTTCTAATATTTTTTTGACACACAACTCAAAAAAAAGCTTGCTAACATGGGAACTGAGACTAACAAAGATGACCGTAACACGCCTGAGTATCTAGCACAGTTACTAAAAGATAAAAAACAAATTCAAGCCCTACCAAATGTTTTCATTCATACGGAGAAAATTTTAGACGAAGGTAAGTTGAGCCTGAAAACTTTTGAAAACGACACTTGTTCGGTTTTGAATTTAATTATTGTTTGGTGTGGATCATTCGAAAGATGCAATCAATAATATTTTCTCGTTTGGATTACACGTATTTCATAGTCTATGATTTCATTTTGTTTGAAAAGAAACATTTGAGGATGATGAATTTTATTATTGTGTAATCAATGGCTGAGCTCGTAAACTTTTTCCCGAGGCTGTTAGTGTCGAGGCTAAACCAGTGATAAAAGTTATTTAAGTTAAATTTATTTTTAAGATTTTGCAAAATTTCAACGTTGAAAGTGTTTCCCCTCCAGTAAATAATAGTTGAAGTGATGAAAAGTTTGGCTTTGCTAAAATATAGCCGCATTCCTATGCTCTCCGTAGCCTGAAATCGGGCAGCCATCTTGAACTCGTCATACACCGAACTGGGCCGGTCTAGGAGGGTTCGGAGAAAGGCACAGCACCTTTCCGACTGGGGTCTGGGGTACAGATTTAACTTGTTGATGGCGCGTGTTTAAAAAAAAAATCACTCATGCATAGAAAGCTACCCGTTGCCTGATACTAATATTAACGTTTCTTTAGATAACTAAGCAAGCATTGGTCTGGGTAATAGGATCAATACGTTTTAAAATAATCTTTTAATTTATAATAATGGCATTAATGCTGATCTGACTTTATAGGCCTACTACCTGTCTTATGAGGTTTTCTTGTAAGTTGTTCAAACAAAGAGATACCCTATTGACATGTGGTTGGCTGTGTGGGCCCACAGTAAAATTAGACATTGTGGCGAATTTAACGGTCCTATTAAGTACTAAGTATGATGTACACCAATTTTAGATTTAAGTTTACTTCTGTAATGTTACGTTACATTGTATTTAGATTTAGGCTATGTCAATGTCTGTCACAGAGTCAGTGGGAGTGTTAAATCATAGACCAGCCTACTTACTGCCTATCTGTAGACTCTGTTAGATCCATGGGAATGACTTATTTCATTTCTGTTACCCTAATATTATATTGTAATTAGGGCTCAATTCTAAGGGGGTCTGTAGCTTGTTGGACAGTATGTGCCACACTCACAGTACATACACATTTAGGTTAGACCTGCCTTTTGGGGAGTGGGGATTATGACAGTACATACACATTTAGGTTAGACCTGGCTTTCGGGAGTGGGGATTATGCCCTAACCAGATCCCAGGGTTTAGGGCCCCATTGTTTCTACGTCAAATGTGTGGAGAGGGGGTTGGTAGGCCAGTATATTAATACAGGGTGTAAACATTTAGCCTAATTAACAATTGCCTAGTAAGTAAAAGCATTGCCACACTGTTATTAGATTAAGGTATGCATAGTATATTAGTTGCGTTGGCTATGTGTAGGCATACAGTTTTTAATTAGGCCTAATTTATACATTATTGTATGCAGGGCTACTAGTAGTTCTTGCTCAACAAGACCTTGGTTTGAAAATATAGGGATACAGGTTTTATTTATTGACAAGGACAAGTCCACTCCTAGATAAAGAGAACTATTTCATTCTTAGTTCAGTATGAATAGTTATATGGAGAAATCATATTTTAATAACTTGATTTGATTAAATTTTGATAGCTAAAGACTAAAGCCCTAGAACAAAAAGACTAAAGTCCTAGAACAAAAAGACTAAAGTCCTAGAACAAAAAGACTAAAGTCCTAGAACAAAAAGACTAAAGGCCTAGAACAAAAAGACTAAAGGCCTAGAACAAAAAGACTAAAGTCCTAGAACAAAAAGACTAAAGTCCTAGAACAAAAAGACTAAAGTCCTAGAACAAAAAGACTAAAGTCCTAGAACAAAAAGACTAAAGTCCTAGAACAAAAAGACTAAAGGCCTAGAACAAAAAGACTAAAGTCCTAGAACAAAAAGACTAAAGGCCTAGAACAAAAAGACTAAAGGCCTAGAACAAAAAGACTAAAGTCCTAGAACAAAAAGACTAAAGTCCTAGAACAAAAAGACTAAAGTCCTAGAACAAAAAGACTAAAGTCCTAGAACAAAAAGACTAAAGTCCTAGAACAAAAAGACTAAAGTCCTAGAACAAAAAGACTAAAGTCCTAGAACAAAAAGACTAAAGTCCTAGAACAAAAAGACTAAAGTCCTAGAACAAAAAGACTAAAGTCCTAGAACAAAAAGACTAAAGTCCTAGAAAGAAAAGACTAAAGTCCTAGAACAAAAAGACTAAAGTCCTAGAACAAAAAGACTAAAGGGCTAGAACAAAAAGACTAAAGTCCTAGAACAAAAAGACTAAAGGCCTAGAACAAAAAGACTAAAGGCCTAGAACAAAAAGACTAAAGGCCTAGAACAAAAAGACTAAAGGCCTAGAACAAAAAGACTAAAGTCCTAGAATAATTTGTATATCTTATTTCAGTGGTTGCTTTTTCTGCTTGTGGTTTGCTGTCCAGTCATGACTTGGTCAGTATTGTACCAGTAGAGCGCAATCAGATAAAAATTGGATTAAGCCATCCCTTGAAGTGGTCCTTAACTAGACAACCGATTTGGCCCTTATCACCACTGGTTCTCAAAAAGTTGGTGAAAGCAAAGGGTACTTCACATGCACAGGCTGAGATAAAAACTTAGCTGCCTTGTTCGTCTTATCAGAGGTCCTCATGGTCAGTGAAAGCATAGTGTACTCCTTGTGCAGTGGTGAAGATAACATCCCCCACCACCCCGCAATACAACAAACATGTCCTCAGTCGTGGTTCAGAATATTTTTTGTTTAGTTATTTTGGTGAAATCAAAGTTTTAAGAGCCGATGGTCTCAAGTTAACAGAATTTTATTCAGCCAAAATTTCCAAATATATCTTTTTTTAATTGATTTTACTTCAGCACCAGGTTTAACTACAGTAATAGGGGGGGGGGGAATACAATTTTATCCTGGTGCTTGTAGGCTGTTGTAAAACTAGTTTTGTGTTAGATTAATTGTATTGTTATTTAAAGCTTAGCCATGGTCCCTCTGTCAGCATAAAATTTTAATAGGTAATGTGTTGTCTGCTTTACTAATGATTATGTGCAGTACACTTACAGAGGTCAAGGGTCATGTCTGATAATATTTTAGTTTCCTCTTTGCATGCCTAACCTTGTGTTTCTATGTCTGAGTATCAAGTATTGTAAAAGTTATTTTAAAAAATGTCCCCATTAAAATAATTCGTCCATTTTTTCACTCTCTTCAAGCCAACTTTAACCGTGTATTCAATTTGTGATTTTTTTTTTTAAACTGCAAATTTTTTTTGCACACAATCCAATCCAAGTTGTTGGAAAATGCTTTTTGAAAAGGACCATTAAGTTGAACAATGCCAGTGGGGCTAATTAATAAACTACCCTTTAGCTGAACAATGCACCCAGACCGCTGTGTCTCATTTGCATCTTAAGACAGCAGACATTTCTAAGGTGTCATAGCTGATAGCTTGGTTTGAACTTTTATAACGGTGTTTAAATCCAAACTTTCTCTCTTGCATTTTCCTTTTGAAAGAAAAGTAATCTCACCATTTTCCTTGAAGGTAGCATAAATCAAAGGTCAAAGGTTAGCTTCTTATAACTTGAACTTCTGATGGAGGTGTTGTGCTCTCTGCTCAATCACTTTATTATTTTAACACTGTTATTTCACTGTCCATTTGATATTGTAGCATTAGGGATTTTTTAAAATATCTTTTTAATCTCTGTTTCTTTACTAATTGAGTCATAAACACGTTTGCCTAATGTTTCCTCATAGCCCTGAATAATCTTCAACACATATATTAATATTGAGCAGATAACAGTGGTAAAAAAATATAATCGCACAATAATTATTTTAACCCTTCAAAATTATTAAAAGATTACTTTACTAGTTTAACCCTTTAAATACCACGGTTTATTAATGTATTAGTATGTAACCTGGTTGTGTTTATCGTGTCTATAAATAGTCTTGTGCAACAAGTGAACCCAGATTTAAAAAAATATATACACAAAGATAATGGGTAAAATGTCAACATTCTGTTACCGAACCAATGACAGTTCTTGCTGGATTCTCAAACACCTTTCACAGGTAAAAAAAATTATATTTTCATTTGTTTTATTTTTTATTTTTATTTTTTGGTCTGATATTATATTAAAATTGGTTTCTATTACTTGGCCTCATTATCTTGACCTGTCAATCTTATGTTTCTAGTATCCTCCCATTCAAACAACTAAAATTGACCAAAACAATAATTTAACATTTCCATTGCTTAAATTGTGTCATTGATTTTTAAGTTTTAAGAGAAAAATCCCCCTTCTGTCCCAGCATCTTGTATTGTTCATCAAGGTTACTGCTCAAATCAATTCCTATATTACCTTGAAAAAAAAATTACTACATCTTCAGTTCCATATTAGAATTGCTGTCAATTTCCTAGGTTTTTTTGCGTGGTGTCTGTTTATCCATTAGTTCTGTCCAAGTAAACTTCTGGCCTCCCAGTTTCTTTGTTTTCCCGGGAGACGTCCTTATTGAGAGTTTAAATAATTGCTTCTGTGCAATATTTAATCAGGAAATAGAAACAGGAGAACATGCCCCTCCCCCCCCCCCCCCGCCCTCTTTCTGTTGGTGCACTGCACTTGTGGCAATGCCCATTACTTATTTCCTCACAACTTTTAAAAATCTTTGTTTTCCCGGGAGACGTCCTTATTGAGAGTTTAAATAATTGCTTCTGTGCAATATTTAATCAGGAAATAGAAACAGGAGAACATGCCCATCACCCCCCCCCGCCCTCTTTCTGTTGGTGCACTGCACTTGTGGCAATGCCCATTACTTATTTCCTCACAACTTTTAAAAAAATGTTTACATTTTCTTGAGGGAAGGCTTCATCCTTCCAGTTGGAAGGCTTCATCCTTCCAGTTGATGACAAATAGATTTCATTGATTAATTTTAGTATTGATTAATTGTGGAATTGAAGTGTGTGTGAATACCGGGAGCTATGTGTTATGTTAAAGAACTGTGTCCAGCTCAAAGAGATATTGATTGGCTGTGGTAGACCTGGATCAGTCAGTCTTGGAGGGGACTCCCAGGCCTTCGTCCCTTCGCTGATAATTTTGTTGATGGTAATTGTGTCGCCACTGATCAAGTTCCTATTATTCAAAAGAATAAAAAATTTTTTTCAAAAGAAAGGTTTTTGGCTTTGTCCTAAGAGATTGAAAGGAAGAATTGACCACTGCCGGCACCGGAATTTTATAACGGTCAAATTTGAAGAAAGGTAGGTGGGGGTGGAGATCACTGGAAGAACCCAACCTGTCTTCACAATATGCATAGCAAAATTCTTGGTGCATTAAAAATAAAATTGCTGAAAAGAAGATGTGATGAAAGGGCAGTTGTCTACATTTTGAGTGTGTATATAATCGGCACTTACCACATCTTCTTTATTCACCCCCTCCCCTCACAAATGATCACTACGAGGGTGTATGCAAGAGCAAACGGAATTTGTGTGATGATGGTTTGAGGGGAGGGTGTTTGAACCATAGATATGATGTCTTAAACAGGGGATGGTGTCTTATAAAATAAGGGAGGTAGTGTTTTACCATAGTACAAGTACAATCCTTGTTCTTCCAAGTGTGGAACTAAAGTGGAAGATGATTTTGTTCCTCATTGTGTTAAGTAAGTGCAATAGCACCAAAGGATAATGAAATTTGGTTCACTCTTTGCCTTGTTTACATAGCCCTCTTTCTGTGGGGGGTGGTTTGGGGGTAGGGGTGGTGCCGGTTATGTGGTGGGGTTGGGAGGATATGGGCTGCTTGCTACAGGAGGGTAGAGGAGGTGCCGGTTATGTGGTGGGGTTGGGAGGATATGGGCTGCTAAAGGAGGGGTTGTTTTAGTTGCGTGCCCTTTCCCCCTTTTTTCCTCGCCAGAGCAGCATTTCGTCTGTCATTATAGTTAATCTGTTGTCAGTGAATTTAGACTTGGTGTCTCCGCTTTTAATAGTTTGGTTGCAAGTTTTCACCTAGTTATCGTTGTGCAACTTTTTATAGTGTGCAGTTGTATAAGTCTTTCAAATTAACGTTTTTTAAAATTGTAAATAACTCATTCACAGACGTCTGTCTGGCCCGAGCACGCCATTTTGCATCCTACGCGTACCACCTGCAAACACATTTTGGGGAAATTTTCCACGATTCGTCTTTAGCCACTCTATAACTTTCTCTCGGGCCATTTTATTCATGGGCTCGGTTGCTTCCCTTTTAATCCTTTTCGATCTCAGATTTGCATTGATGGCTATTGATCAAATTACCGCCCCTGGAATGGGCCGAGTTCTCGACGAAAGCACAACAGAACAAGAAAATACGCGGCGCCCCGTCAATTAGGGCAATGTGCCCTACTATCAACCACCCTCCCCCACCCCCACTGCCCGTTTAAATGGGATCGAGAGTAAAGAGTCGAGCTTATCTTGATTTTGTTAATGTTGGCTTCCAGCTTGGAATTTAGGTACTCTCTATGTCGTCGTAGCTACAGCTTCCCGGAATTTAGAACTTTTGAATCTAGAGTTGGGAAATTTCTTTAGAACTTTTGAATCTAGAGTTGGGACATTTCTTTAGAATTTTTGAATCTTGAGTTGGGACATTTCTTTTTTTTTTTTAGAACTTTTGAATCGAAATTTGTTACATTTCGCACAAATCTGACTCATTGGCATGACGCCAATAGATGGGGTGGTCTAAGACGGGTCGCCTGTTTTGACTGGCACCACTCGGCCATGACCTCAACTTTCCACGTGTTGTCAAATTCACCCCAGTCGCCATCTTATTTATATATAACGGGCGGGTGGGTAGTGGACAGAGTATTGGACGTTCATCACTATTCTTTATTACTAATCATGTCATTGATATTAATTGTTTCTAGTTTTCACCCATTTTCGTTGAGTTGGGGGCCGGGGGAAGGGGGGGGGACATTTCGATTGGAACTTTTTTTTTTCTTCTAAGGGTAGAGATTTGTTGTTTTGTTTATGTCTACAAATACGTTTCAGAAGATGATTACAGGGGTTGGGCTCGTTTTCTTGCCTCTGTGAATAAAACAACAAACATAAGAAACGTAAGTGCTATGGTGGATGTTCTTGGTCATTTAATCTGATCCATTCATCGAGGTTGTCTCACTGTTCAACAGCTTTCCAACGGAAGTGTCTGTTGATTCGTCCACGATAGACGATCACGGCCTATGGATAGTGCACCACTCGCCTATGGATAGTGCACCACTCGCCTATGGATAGTGCACCACTCGCCTATGGATAATGCACCACTCTCGCGCGCAGCTGGTTTTGTTTTGAACGAATTCGTCACATAAAGAAAATAACACCAACCTGTTTAAAAATAGGTAAATAAAAGTATAACCTGCCAGTAACACGTGATGGTGTCCAATAGTGTAGTTTTAAAAGATAAACTTCAACTCAATTGTGTTGGCCTGTCGTTAGAGAAGTTTCTTTCACTCGATCGAGTTGGCCTGTCGTTAGTGAAGTAACTTTTACTCGATCGAGTTGGCCTGTCGTTAGTGAAGTAACTTTCAGTTATTTTAAATTCCCGATAGCGACGTGACCTTTGTGCTAACGACGTGACCTTTGTGGGCTTTGGTGCGGAAAGTTTCGTGACTTTCAAATATGCAGATGTGAGAATTTATCCACGCTCCGACTCGCCAGGGAGCCGTGACCATTTAACCTAAAATACAATACAAAAGCTAACCTCGTTCAAAGCCGTGGATATGGCCCGTTGGTTAACAATGTCAGGTTGTGCGTGCCCTTGTTGGTTCCAGGTTCGCGTTATTAGGGGTCACTTTGTGATAAGTCGTCGTGGCACCCAGCTTTGTCAAAAGTCCGGTATGTTTTTGTGTGTGTGTGGCCAACGTGACCTCTGACTTGTCACGCCAGGTGATGTCTCCCATGTTTAACTAAGAAAATTATGAATTTCAAAGGATTAACAATATTTTATGATCCTAACAACCTCGAGGCATTCTGCAGTTCCGACCGAATCTCTTATTAAATACAGTTTGTGAAAATCTCACCTAGGTTCAGGGGTTTAGAGTAAAATAATATGCTGGGATGCGGCGGGGCGAGATAAGGGAGGGACTAGATTGATGTGACAGGTGAAGGGGCGCACAATCCTCGAAATAGCCCTGGCAGGCTTTATTTTCTAGGCTCTCCCGTCGTCAGTCTTCCGCTGGATAGCGCGTTAACCGTCAAGACGTTTTTGGCGATAAAGCCTTTCTTCTCCTTCTTCTATTGTTAGCACTGACAACCACACTTCTTTTTTTTTTCTTATCCATCAACCCACATGCTAAACAGTAGTTATAAAATGACAACCCCAGGTTGATATCCACTCTCTTCCCAATACGGCATGGTCTTGTTACTTTTAAAGTGCATTCAAATTCACAAACGTCGGTCGTCGTGTTCCCAGTAGTTTCACCCCTGAATACGCCGGCTTTACATCTTGCTGATAAAACTTTCAGAGCTGGGTCTTCTCTTGTCAGTTTACGCCACCACCATCAGATAATTAAATTGTTCATGTCCCGTGTTTGCCAAATGCAACGCTCTGTTCCCCCCAATATTATTATTTATTTAGCCTTGGCGTTTATAGGAATCGCGAGAATGCTCGGTGCTAAATACTGGAGAAGTTAACTTGGTATGGGTGCTAACTGCTGGAGAAGTTAACTTGGTATGGGTGCTAAACGCTGGAGGACGTTAACTTCGAACCGGTTAGTTAACTTGGTATCGGTGCTAAACCCTTGAGAACGTAGCTTGGTGTAAGTGCTAAACGCTGCAGTTGGAGGGGTTAACATGCCACGGTTGCTACATATGGTGAGTTGTGCGGAAAGAGAAATTGCCAGTTGCCGACTGCTGAGGTTAACTTGGCGACTGCTGAGGTTAACTTGGCGACTGCTGAGGTTAACTTGGCGACTGCTGAGGTTAACTTGGCGTGTGTGGTGAGTTGTGCGGAAAGAAAGATTGCCAGTTTCCGACTGCTGAGGTTAACTTGGCGTGTGTGGTGAGTTGTGCGGAAAGAGAGATTGCCAGTTGCCGACTGCTGAGGTTAACTTGGCGTGTGTGTTAAAGGTAGGGTGGGATGTGTTGTCATTTAAAGTTTTGTTGACCCTGTTGTACTTTCGTAAGAAAGAAACCAATGGCTTATAGGAGCGACGGACGGACGTCCACTGGTTTTAAGCGGCTGCTACAGCTTTTTATACGATCATTTTAGACTCGCACGGCCAGTTAGAACTTGTCTATCAACTGAGCACCCTTCCCCTAACCCTTCCCCGAACTCTTCCCGAACCCCCTCCAGCGAGCCTCTACAAAAGGGCTTTTTTTGTATTTCTTGTTTCTTTTAAACGTCTTTCCTAGTCCTGGTGTTGGAATGTGTTATTCATAACCACCGGACCGTGACGGGGAGATTTGAAAGGTATCATTATGTTGAGCTGTGTAGGCCACCTTCACAACACCAGGCCTACAGGTGTGTTAGCCAGTGGATCTACCACTGATGTACCAAAGGGTCCCCAATAATAATTTCGGCTAATTATTTCATCGCAAAAAAAGATTATCTCAACATCAGGTCCATTTGTCTCAATGAAAGTCAGTTTGATCCATCAATTTAATGACCAATAAAATCAGTCATAGGTGTTGGACTATTTAGTTTAAGCTTTGCATTTGGGATTGCTAGATGTGGTTGTTCTCTGGGGACTTAAGCTTATTTATGTATTACACTTGGGAGTGGGGGGGGGGTGTCTCTCAGATTTTTAAACAAGGAGCTCCACATTCTTTTCGCTTGGTTTGTGATATACCTTGTGTGATATACCTTGTGTGATATACCTTGTGTGATATACCTTGTGTGATATACCTTGTGTGATATACCTTGTGTGATATACCCGGAGAACAGATAAAAACTTTTGATTTTTATTATTGTGGCTTCTTCCAAAAATAAAAAAAAAAACAACAAAAAAACAAAGAAAAAGAAAGAAAGAAAAATAAGGAATTATGAGAAGGCGTTACGTTTTATTTTGACTTAAGGGCATGCTACATTCCTAATATAACTTTTGTGATATACCTTGTGTGAAATACCTTTGTTGATATACCCGGAGAACAGATAAAAACTTTTGATTTTTATTATTGTGGCTTCTTCCAAAAAAAAAAAAAAAAACAACAAAAAAACAAAGAAAAAGAAAGAAAGAAAAATAAGGAATTATGAGAAGGCGTTACGTTTTATTTTGACTTAAGGGCATGCTACATTCCTAAAAGGTATACACAATTCATGTTTACATGACATAATTGGTCGGTAGACATGCATTGTATGTCATTGCTTCATCGCAACCAATTCATTCCATGTTACTGTCGGATTTTAAAAAAAAATGTTTGTCAGATTTCATTGCACGGGTGCTCCTTTTTTGCCCTGTTTTAATCAAAGTATTTTTGAATTAAGAAAGAACGACTTAATGACAATATACGATTCTTGATAGACGCCATGAGACTACGGCCGGGTGTATCGATTTTCTGGTTGTAATCCCATTTTTAAAACGGGCAATCAGCTTGAGAATCAGTGTGTAGTACGGTACACATACAATATGAGAATCAGTGTGTAGTACGGTACACATACAATATGAGAATCAGTGTGTAGTACGGTACACATACAATATGAGAATCAGTGTGTAGTACGGTACACATACAATATGAGAATCAGTGTGTAGTACGGTACACATACAATATGAGAATCAGTGTGTAGTACGGTACACATACAATATGAGAATCAGTGTGTAGTACGGTACACATACAATATGAGAATCAGTGTGTAGTACGGTACACATACAATATGAGAATCAGTGTGTAGTACGGTACACATACAATATGAGAATCAGTGTGTAGTACGGTACACATACAATATGAGAATCAGTGTGTAGTACGGTACACATACAATATGAGAATCAGTGTGTAGTACGGTACACATACAATATGAGAATCAGTGTGTAGTACGGTACACATACAATATGAGAATCAGTGTGTAGTACGGTACACATACAATATGAGAATCAGTGTGTAGTACGGTACACATACAATATGAGAATCANCCAAAAACTTGCCCCCCCCCCCCCCCACACACACAGACACAATACCTCGGCGACAAAAGCCTGATACTTGATTCATTCATGGACAATGTGAGGTGGGGAGGGGAGATTAGTCCTGCGACTTGCCCACCCTGCTCGACCCCATCTCGTCCCGGTTTTGGGATCTCTTTCGCCGACTCTTAGTGTCTGACAACTTGATAGAGCCCACTTAGAGCCTTGGCAATTATTCTGATATTTAAAGATAAATAATAAAAAAAATCATCAGTTTGAGGCATTACACTATTTGAATACCACCCCCCTGCCGAAACCCATCCATTCAACTGTTTACGAAACCCATCAATTCAACTGTTAACGTTCCCTTCCTTTACAAGAGGACCCCTTCTCCTCCCGACCACTATCCCCTCCCCCTCTGGGCACCGATATGATCATCGCTCTGACCACTTGACATCATTTAGCAAACGTGGCTTCCCTCTTATCCGCTGGTCGTAAAGGTTGATCATTACATCGACTATAGACTGCTGCTATTGCATCTGTTATAAGTTAGCAGCAGTTTATACATGTCCCTGTCGCTGATATTCCGGACGATTAAAATTTTGTGCCGCCGCCGAGATTCTGATAATTTAGATAAAAAATTGAGTGGTCAGTTTGTTAAGCTTAGTAAGTGAATTAGTGGAACTACATCATACTGGCCATCTCCATGCATTCTATCTTGGCAATATCCATTCCATAGTGTTCCATTATTGAGAATGCCCCCCCCCCCCCAACAAAATAAAAAAAGCCCATATGTTTCATGTCCTAATTTCTGACATTTCAACGTAAACCATCATGTATTTGAAGTTAAACTAGGACCTTTTCTACGCAATCCATTCGGGCCATAATGCGGACATTTTCAAGGGTTAATGTCAGCATCATGAAAAGTCATATACAATGTCCATATTAATTCAATGAGTGGGAATGCATGTCGCGATATCACAGCTAGCGCCTGTTGCGCATCTCGTCATCTCGCGGAATTTAAGCTGGGATATCTTAGATCAGAGCTTCTCATCCTGACCCCCCTCCTGTGGCAACTTATTTAACAATTTCGCCTGGACACGTCTTCCTTGCAAGAAAGCAACAGCAACAAATAATAGCCACAAGGTCCCTGATTCACGTAACAACATTTATGAGAAGGGCGATAGGTGAAACGTCGCAAATGAAAAACTTCCAGAAATATTACTGCTTCTGTCTGGCCAACAAACGGGTTAGTTGTTACTATCATGTAATAAGAAAGCTCTACCGCGCTGTGTAGTGAGTAGTGTACACAGGATTTCTAACATTTAATCTACGCTGTCAATACCCTCCTCTATTTACTCACACAATAGCCGTGTTAACAATAGTCACGTTAAAAATACGTGCGTGTGCCACAATTTGATATGGTAATTGGTTTTTAAAAATTCGTGCCTGGGGGACCTTACAATAAAGCATTGTTTCCATTCGAAGTCTGTTACATTGCTGGGTGTCTTTGTTTTATCTTGGACCCAGGCGCCCCCACCCCAGGCGGGGCCCGGCGTTGGGGATTAAATTTAAATAGAGGCTCGCATGTCACACCCGGAAGTGACCTCATCTCATCGCTCATCTTGTCACATCTCATGTCGTCTGATCACAGGACCTGGTGGAGCGGTGGTCGTGTTGTTGAGGGAGAGGGATGTGGTCGGGATGTAAGTACTGAACCGTTAATCTTTCAGTCCCACAACCAAGACGTTCGCTGGTTGTTGTTGAAAGAATCACCTTAACAGAAGACAAATCTTAACGAATACGGTCGAACCATTTAAACAGAATTTTAATCTTTCAGTGACACAGTCCACAGCCAAGGCGTTCACTAGTTGTTGTTGAAAGAATCACCTTAACAGAAGACACGTCTTAACGAATAGGGTCGAACCATTTAAACATAATTTTAATCTTTCAGTCCCATATACTGGCGTAGACTGGCATAGACTGACATAGACCAAGACTACACGTTCATTAAGGGAAACTCTCCAGTATGTTCAGTATGTTCCTAATTTAAATATAGACAAAAAACATGAACACATTACTAATACCCATTAGGTTACTTTTGTTTTGAGGTTACCGGTACTAGTGAGCCATTGGACTTCTACCGGTACTAGTGAGCCATTGGACTTCACGTGTTGTGTGTTTTATGTGATGGCCTTTAGTGTGCTCTTCGTAATTGGTGGCCATTCGGTTGCTCTTTGTATTCGATAGTATGTGTTTTTTTTTTTTTTTTTTTTTTTTTAGGTGTTGCCTTTAGTAGCTTATTGTTACTGACGTAACACACAAAACATATTGTCTTGTTGTAACCAAATTCTCTCCTCCTCACTGCTCTAAACTTCTCAACATTGACACATTACCATGTACTGTTTTATCCTGGAGTTTTAAGTTGACAGACAGCTGTCTCAAGTCAGTGGCATGATATCCTTGTACAGTGTACAGCAAACAGTTTGATAAACCAGGGGACCGCGCCCAATCCGTGTCAAGTAAATAAGGATAAATAGTGGATCAAGATGTGTTTAGGCTTAAAAAAAAAAGACATAACAATTAAAGAGCCGTTTGCCCAAACGCTGTAGTCCACATCAGAAAAAAGAAAAAAAGCTTATTATTTAAAACACAAAGTCTTCACAGATCACAATGTAGCTCTCTCTGTCTCTGTGCACAAACTAAGGCGCACTATAAAAACTTGAGTTGTTGAAAACCAAAACAGGAAATAGAGTGCTTTCATAAAATTTATTGAAGGTACGCCAAACATTTGTTTCTGTGTTGTGTGTTCGATACTTGACTGATACACGTTCAGAGCTTTTTTGAGAAAGTTTCTAACCCTGTGATCTTGGCTGGGTATCAAAGACTAGTGAAACAAAAAAATAAAGAAGGAACCAATGTTACAATTATTTTTTTTTTATAAACCAACTTGAACTACTGCGTGTACGTACACCTTTGGCTTTTGATAAAACTAAATACGGGTTAATCCGCCTCACGTTGAATTGTTAACATGTCTTCAGAAGTCACCCAGGTCACTGTCTATACACGATCTTTAGGTCCTGTTCGTATTTACATATCTTTGGTATGAGCTTAGGCGAGTCTATTGTCCCGATAGTTAATGCTTAGGTCTGCTGTCTCCGGCCTTTGGTTGCTGAGGGCTCCCCATAAATGTTCGCTCTAAGGTTTGTTGGTTCGTGAGCAGGATCATACAGTTGTGTGCAAAGTTTTACAGCATCAATTTTTTTGTGTGCAACATTTTACAGCCCCCAAACACAAACACGCACTTACATGGAAATTTGCTGCGCGGTACTCAAAACTGCTGAGTCTGTGAGATAGCTGCGCGCCTTAAAGGGAACACTGCTCCCCATTAATGGCATGCAGTGTTAACCTACAACATTTTATCACCAAAGATTTTTTTTTCAGCCCCGGTTCTTGCAAACATAAATCTTCAGTCTTTTTAAATTTTCTTCACCAGACCCCACCAAGAGGCAAAACTCCCTCGCCCCCCACAACCCCCCCCCCTTCCACATCATGAAAGTTGCCTCACGTTTTACAACATGGGTGACGATAGGATCTTTTCATTATTATTATCTCATCGTTAATAAGAGCTCTCCTGCGGTAGGAGATCGTTTATGATCTCACTTAAGGTGTCTGTAACCACTCGCCTTTGAACAGCAGCTCGCCATTGCCTAGTCTAATGGAAGACACGTTTTTGTAAGGGAAGATGAAAGCAGTGTCGGTGGCCACGTTTTCGTCATGGCTAATTTTAGTCTTTGTGGATGGCCGGACTCAATTAATGTGTCGGGGGAGGAATCAGAGTTGACTTCTGATAAAGCTGTGTTTTGGTTTGTATCGCCAGGTCATCATAATTACTCGTGCGTCGTACCTCTTTGAACCATCTCACGTGCTCATGTTGGACAAATTTCAATCCAATGCCCATTGACGAACAGCACATGGAAGGGGGAGAGAGTACAAATATTCATTTAGAGTGCATTTTAACACCAGAGGAAATAATACAGTATAGTATCGTTCCCCCAACCTCAATCAATTCGATCTCCCAAACTGACACACCCCTTTTTCAAAATTTTCACCACCAGATCCGCCCCCCCCCCAACCATAAAACCCACTACCCGCCTCTCCCTTACAACTACCTTCCTCTCCCTTACAACACCCCTCCCTGACACTCAGTCGTACCTCCTTTGTAAGGGCTCCTAGTCCATAGCCATTGACTGCATGTTGAGATTATTTGCCTGGTTCAAGTGGTTATGTACATAGATCAAGTGGTTACCGCACCAGCAGTCCTTGAGTGATTCGGGAATTCTTGCGTCACACATTATAGACTATAGTCGAATTATTTCCCCCAAATGATGTTTAAATCCAAAAAGCTGAGACTGCCTGAAGATGATTGCTGGAACTATCAGCTTCTTGTACGTACTTTTTCAAACAGGTGAAGATGTCTCCTGGGTGCTCCTTCGTTGTCTGCACTTTACCAACCCTATAGATATATTCAATACCAGCACCATATACCCTCTTATACTTTACCCCAACCACCTGCCCACTGTCTCTGCCTCCCGTCATTTGCTGGCACCCACACTATATCTCCCACAACTGACCCTCCTATTTCTACCTTCATCCTATTCTGGCGCCCACCAACTGACCCCTGTCTCTAACCTCCAATCAAACGGGGATCCTTACTGTAACCCAACTCCAACCCCTTCCTTACATATGTACATCCTCCCTCTTCCCTTGACTGTCTTCTACATCCACCCCTCCCCTGCCGTTGTATATATCTCCTACCTCTATCCTCTCCTTCCAGGGACATATCCCAGCACATGGCACACCTCCCCCTTTTACAAACCCATCCCCAATAAGCTGAATCATTTCAAGTGTAAGGTCTCCACCCAAGCTGGATGTTGATTGGATTCTGTTGTAAATTTATTGATTGTTACATTGTACAGGAGATTCCCTTGCTTAGTGTTGAAATATTCTTTCATTAGTCAGTTTAATTGTTCCCATCCTCCTTTGACAACAAATTTAAAAAAAATACCGGTATGTTGCTCTTTGGGGCGAGTTCAAGAGACCAGTCGATTCATGTTTCACTTAATTAAATTTGCCTTTCTGAATCCCCCCCCCCCCCCCCCCGTGTCATATCTTCTTTCTTCTTTCGTTATTGATTGGTTACTTTTGTTGTTGATAGACCACATTTGTTCCAGGGTTTTTCAGACTCCTTTATTTCATTTTATTTTTATATAAAGCCTGAATAGAATAGCCGTTATTGTGAACTTAAAAGTGCTGATTTTATACAATGTTTGGACATCTTAAACATTTCATAACTTAAAACTAAGAACTTCAGCACACATATTCAGTGATACAAGAGTCATTGAGAAATCTTAGTGAGAACTACCCGGTACTTGATTTTATCTTTGAGAAAACATTTTCATTTTTGCTTTTAAAAAAAAGTTTGTGAGTTCGTCAAAGAGGAATTTGTTTGTTTTTTTATCTGGTGGGTGAGAATTTATATTTCCTCCAGAAGGAATTTCGTGATTTCATCAGGCATACATTCGTTTGGTTTTCAAATTCTGCATGTTTGATCTCAATAGTCAAGTGATTATTTATGATTGTGTGTTGGTTATGTTATCTGCCCTGTCAAGTAGATTTGGTATTTTACATTGTCTAATCACAATAATTCACCAAACCCTTTTGCTATGGTAATAATTCACCAAACCCCTTTGCTATGATAATAATTCACCAAACCCATTGCCATCATAAAAATTCAACAAACCAATGTTTTATTTTCATTAACAGTTAAAAAAAAAATATATATATATATTTTTGAATATAAATTTCAGAAATCAACAGAGTTCGTCTTTCATTGTTTCACCATCAAGGCAAAAGGGAAATCCTTGACCTTCCAGAACCGCTTGGACCTGTTGTCCAGCTACAGGAGAAATTGTTTGTACCAGTTAAAGAATACCCTGATGTGAGTAGACACATGTAACATTCAATTACTAGCACTCCTCCATTAAAAGATGTTTTAAAATATTAGCCCCCTCGGGTGTGTGTATGTGGTGGGGGGTGCTACTGCAGTGAAACCTTTAAGTAGGACAATTAAAGAAGTTAGGCCTTCAAATACATGTATATATTAAAATCTCCAGATAGGGTTGCATATTTCCACCCAAATTTTTATTTCAGTTTACTCATCTGTCTGCTTCAAACCAATTTTAAAATCAATTTTGTTTGTATTAGTTCAACCATCTTGCACTTAATATTTACTGAACCCCAGTTATTGGGTTAAAAAGAACAACCAGTGACCACATCATTTTTGCATCCGCATAATCCGGATCAGACTACAGCCTTTTTATCAACAAAATAAGCTGGTGGTTATGGATTCTCTAGTAAAATTAAATTTAATTATAGGAGTAACTGTAGTGGGCGGTTCAAATGTTGTTTTGTTTTTTGTTGTTTTGGCCCCCCCCCCCCCCCCCCCCCACGTATTGACACACCTATTTTATCTAAATGACATTCTTCAGTGGCCAGACCTGAGCCCTAGTTTTTAAACATGACCAATTGGTCTCAACGATAAGCTTTCCGTTACACTTACACACACAAAAAAAAAAAAGAAATAGTAATTTCATTTCTTTGTTAGTGTCTTCTTTTATTTGTTCTCCAACACGTCCACACGTTCCGTCCACACTTTCCGGCCAGCAATGTCAATAAACAATGCTAGTAATAGTTACTCTTTATCATACATTCATACATAATCTTTTTGCTAGGTTTGAAGTATTAATTACACTCACATTTTTGAAACAGTAAATCTCTTTCTCTATATATATATTTTTTTTGTATAACAGATTTATAATTTAAAATCAATCAAAAGTTTGAGATAAAGTATGATGAATAAAAAATCTAAAAAAGCTCGAAAGGTGTTCGGCAATTCATAAACCTGTGTTAGTTGATGTCCGGCGAGGTATTCGTCTTGTGTATCTGGTGGTCGGGCACACGTGTGTACACTGGGGGTCCCGCGAGACTCAGACATTATCCGATGCAATCCATCGTGCTGTCACTGCCGTGTGGATTTAAGATTTCACTTGCAAACTGCGAACCTTGCTGTCCTTGCTAGCTGTGGTCACTGAAATCAACCGTAGGGCTTGGCATATTGGCGACTACATATTTCCCCCGCTTAATGAATTTAAATACAAGTGAAGTTTAAAAAAAAAAAAAAAGCAACTCGTATCTCGTTTATATCGATTGAGAACAGTCCGAGTGTTCGGTCAAAATGGATGGATTATATTAAATATACCGACTAATGTATTAAAGATACTGACTGATGTATTAAAGATACTGAATGATGCATTAAATATACCGACTGATATATTAAATATACTGAATGATACATTAAATATACCGACTGATATATTAAATATACTGAATGATGCATTAAATATACCGACTGATATATTAAATATACTGAATGATACATTGAATATACCGAATGATGCATTAAAGATACTGACTGATGCATTAGAGATACCGAATGATACATTAAATATACAGAATGATACACTGAATGATACATTGAAGATACCGAATGATACATTGAAGATACCGAATGATGATTAAAGATACCGAATGATACATTAAATATACCGATTGATGCATTAAAGGCACAGAATCCAATACGAATCAAATAATCAGTGCATTCTTACTATACCGTGCATTTCCACGTAATGCCGTCATTGTATGTTACCGATATAATAAAATAATACAGTTTTTTTTTCTTTAAGAGATATTGCCGTTATTAAATTATTAAGGGATGTTATAATAAACTTTTGCTACTTTACGGCAAATCACATTTATGTAGTTAACTCCCCCCTGCCCCATTTATCAGCCAACTCCAGCCAGACCTACACATGTTAGCCATTACTAATCAACTTTTATCATAACACCGTTTTACTGGCCACAAAACACCACCAACCTAGGGATGAGTTTTTGGTAAACTCGAGCATGAGCCCACGTGGAAGTTATTTCCCGAGACGCTGGTTGAGGGGTTTCTTCTGGATGTCATAATCAACTAATGCCAAGCTCGTGATTACGTTCGCATCCTCTCTTAGTAAGTGCTCCCTCTGACAAAATACCGGACTTGCTGTTTTTACGAGCGGGTTCCCTTTATCTTTCGCTCCCTGAGCATTCCTCGGGCTTCAGCGGATTTCGGAATCTTCGTTTCAAGTCGGCTTCAGTGTCTCTCAGAAAATCAAATAGCCTTCCCTTCGGGTTGACATACATGCATGCTATAATATAAACTTAATAGTCACGTATTCATAATCCCAGGTTGGAACACAGCTCGACCTAATTGATGTGTAACGATGTTCAGCTCACCTGGGGTGAAGTTGCCGTGGCTTCATTTAAAAAAATAAACATAAAATTATTTCGACTAGTTTGCGACAATACACACTGGCATGCGCAGAGCGCTACTGCGTATAGCTTCAACACACCGAACACGGAACTGGACTAGTTGAGCACAGACGCACTAGAATTTGAAATAAGTCAACTCAGAGTAAAATAGGTCTTCCAGCTGGCACTGACTCGATCTGCCATCACGTAGCCGTGATCACGTGATCGGTAACACGGAAATGTGGAGCACCGAGTGAACTCTTTTCACAGTTCCGAACTGACCAGTGGCTGATAGACCACCAACTGACCAGTGGCTGATAGACCACCGAGGAAAAAAAAACCCACCAGGAACGCAAGCCGATGGCACCGGAAGTCGATTAGGCAATGGAGTGTCCGAGCGTTAATGACCGCCGAGTTGTTAAGGGGTGTGCACGCGCTGATGGGGTTGCCGAGTTTGGGAATGCGAGGATCCATTACGCTATTTTGCTGGTCATGTCCAGTCCACCTGGCTTCAAGGGGTCATTCGAAAATTACGTCACGCTCAGGAGGGAGGGCGGTCGAGAATTTGTGACGTCACATTTATTTTATTATGATTATTTTTTTTAAAATCTACAATTTTCTAATTTTGATAAATCTTTATTCAATTAATTTGAGGTCGAAATTGCCTCGGGTATTATAAGTACCGTGACACTCGGTCGCTCACACCTTCTGCACATAAAGAAAAATGACGCAAAAAATGTTGTTGCAGTTTTATTTTCGTCTCTGGGAGGGGTTCGTTGTTTTGGGTCTTACGTCACAGTTTTCTAATACTATATCTTAATCCATTATGGGAAAAAGTTAAAGAACACATTTAAAACTCTGTTTAGTTATGAAAATTTTATGCATGTTTTGATTTAGGGGGGGGGGGGGGGGGTGGGTGATTGTTTTTGGTGCTTGTGGGGGGGGGGGGGGGGGGGGGGGTCTGAAATTGTCTTTTTTTTGCGTGGCATAATTTGCAAACGACCCCTTAGGTAACGTGAAATCAAATGCCAGTGGTTTAGAGGGACATCGTAAGAAATCTAATCCTATATCATTCATGTTGAACCGATCATTGTGTTGCCAAAGAGAATCTAGAGAAGGACACGGTTTAGTGCCTGTCACTGTTATATTTAGTTATAAATAAGAGTCGAGACGTCGTGGTTCAAATAGTCAATATTTTAATAAAAAAAATTCACAATAATATCCCAAATAAGAAATGTGTGATTGCACAGACACAACATATAATTTTAATCACCTAAATCTAAATTCATATAATATATTCAGATCTCCTATAATGTATTCACAACGTCTCAAAAATATATTCACATCTCCTACAATATAATCACATATTCACAGCATCTCATATAATATATTCACAACATCTCAAATAATATATTCACATCTCCTTTCACTCCAAAATCTGATGTACAAAATCTTGATCTCCAATGAAATAAGTCCCAATACTCTGTAGTATGCGCTCGGGGAATATTAATTATATCAATTGTCTCCCATCAGTGGTTCACACATTCATAACGATATCCGTGACAGCCCCCCCCCCCACCACACTTTTTAAAAACCCAACATGTATACGCAGTAGAGCTCCTTATTTGTCCATGTCAATTTTTCCCACCAGTGGATCTCAATTCCTTATTGTCTCGCGGATCTCAATTTCTATTGAAAAAGGGGGTGGGGGCGGGCTTTGGCTCACTCTGTCTTACAAGTGAATAGTTTCTAGGGCAGTGGTTCTCAACCTTCCTAAGCCGCAACCCTTTATTAGTTCCTCATGTTGTGGCGACCCTCAGCCATACAATTATTCTCGTTGCTACTTCATAAATATGTGTTTTCCGATGCTCTTAGGCGACCACCGTGTAAGGATCGTTCGACACCCAAAAGGATTGAGAACCGCTGGTACAGGGGTTTACTTAAGCGGGTGCTGAGCCCCCGAGAAAAGCACGCGGGAGCCTCATGAGCGCAGGTCTGGGGGCCACTGATTTTATCTATTTGACAACAGTAACATCCGCACCACAACGTACAGTACCGAACCTCACTGTGTTCCTTGTGACTGTGAGTTCAGGGTCGCAGACGTGCTCTAAAATGGGTGGTCGTCAATATTAAGCCGAGCAGTTCATAGTTGTAGAATGGAAGCTTGGTATTTGATCGTTTAGAAATAGGCGGACATTCTAATTCGCCTCAATTTTTCACTTGACCTTTCCAATTCACCTGATTTGTTTATGTGATTCTATCGTTCCTTAACCATGATGGTACTTTTCACTTGATGGTTTCTTGCACTTTTTGGTTCCCATCCCTTGGATTGTTCTTTTAATGAGACTGTCACTTATCAATGCGTAATATCTGAAAACGTGACATGCTAACCCTTTACCCACCATCTCCGTCTACAAAGCGAGCTCAAACCGTGGTCTACCCTGTTCTATCTGTTGACTGAAATTCACTCAATGCTCACGTTTTGTTTATGGCACTCGAAGCTCGCGGGCTCTCTGCCCCCCTGAGAAACCCATCAACACCGAGGACTTTAAAAAAAAAAACAAAAAATCCTCTTACTTAGTCTCGTGAAATAATCCACGGGATCCATCAAAATGGTTAGTGGTTAGGCAGTGAAATAACGAGATGAAGTGTCGAGGGCTTCTTCTAGCGGCTATTATAAAACTTGATACCAATTTCATTGAAAGTTTCACGCTCTGGCCATCATGGAGAGGTGTTTTTTTTTAAAATCACCCGGTTGCTTCATTGCTCTACCCATCATGTCGTAAAACATCGTAACCCATTTCATCATTACCTTGCCCATCATGTAATTTTTATCTATTTCTTTTCGTGCATCAATAAGTTCAAGCCTAAGTGTGAAAACCATTGTGTACCCGAGTTAAGAACACGCCACCACCAAACTAAGACGCAATCCTAAGACAGTATCAGTATTAATTATGGCATCCGTCCGTCAAAATATGATGGTGGTGTTGACTTCGCAGTATTAATTATGGCATCCGTCCGTCAAAATATGATGGTGGTGTTGACTTCGCAGTATTAATTATGGCATCCGTCCGTCAAAATATGATGGTGATGTTGACTTCGCAGTATTAATTATGGCATCCGTCCGTCAAAATATCATGGTGGTGGTGTTGACTTCGCAGTATTAATTATGGCATCCGTCCGTCAAAATATCATGGTGGTGGTGTTGACTTGGCAGTATTAATTATGTCATCCGTCCGTCAAAATATCATGGTGGTGTTGACTTCGCAGGACGAAATCACAAGGCCGGGGATTATTTTTTTTTCTTTTGGAGGATAATCTAGTTCCTTGGACAGCATATCGCCTCATTCCACGCACCTTGATAGCTCAAGAGAACATCACGCTTGGATGATACAGCCTGATACCAGTAACGCCGCAGGAGTTGACGGAAAAAGCATTGTGCCAGTATCCGGTATCAATCAACTCTAATAATTATTACCCTTGAGAAAAACTTGCATGGACTTTCAGCTGTCCAGAACATAGGGGAGGTTGTCATAAAACGATGACACGTTTGATCGGTCCTCGCTAACGGAAAGTTTCCCCACCAAAATGGCCAAATGCATCGGACAACGACCAATGCCATCAGACAACGACTAATGCTATCAGAAAACGACCAATGCTATCAGACGACGACCACTGCCATCAGACGACGACCAGTGCCATCAGACGACGACCAGTGCCATCAGACAACGACCAGTGCCATCAGACAACGACCAGTGCCATCAGACAACGACCAGTGCCATCAGACAACGACCAGTGCCATCAGAAAACGACCAATGCCAACAGAAAACGACCAATGCTATCAGAAGATGACCAATCCTATCAATCAGAAAACGACCAGTGCCATCAGAAAACGACCAATGCTATCAGAAGATGACCAATCCTATCAATCAGAAAACGACCAATATATATCGGAAAAGGGACCAGGCAATAGCGCCGTTTACTGAAATAATGGCTTCTTGTAGCAAATTACCCCCCCCCCCTTTTTTTTTCTCTTCTTTTATTCCCACCCCGCTCATTTCAACCCAGAATAAAGAAAAAAAATAAATATATAACCTGATGTAATTTTGGACTTCGAGTGGGTTGAGTTTAATGTTTGCCACAATAGAAGCCAGAGGTCTTTAGAAATTATGACGTGCGTTTCTTATTACCAAGATGCTCTGCTCTTGGCCCCATGCGAATCGTCCCTTTGTTTTCGCGTGCCGTGCATTTGTCTCACCTATGTGTCTCGACCTAGTCTGCTTCTGCTCATTCCCAGAACGTTGTTTACAAAGCTCTCCTGAGCCTATCCAATCTACTCCGGATTACTTGATTGTAAGAGACCGAGGGCAAGTGGCGTTAGACAAACTCGTGGTTTCCGCTCCTCGCTCACGCGCCAAAAAAAAAAAAAAAAAAAAAAGCACCATAAAAAAGAAAAAAAAAAAAAAAAAAAAAAAAAAGGCCGGGCCAAAAGGAAAAAAACCCCCCCCCCAAAAAAAAAAAGAAAAAAAAAGCCACAATAAAAAAGAAAAAAAAAAAAAAAAAATTATGAAAAGTCGCGCCAAAAGGAACACCCCCCCCCCCCAAAAAAAAAAAATGTTTCGATTCAAGAGTTGCTTTGCGGAAATCAAAGAGTTGGATTCTTTGTGTGCGTGTGTGTGTGAGCTGTGTTACCAGACACTGTAGGTAAGTCTGGGAACACATCAGAGTTTTAGCATAGCCTTTTAGGAATATTCCGAGAACAACGATGAACTAGAGCAGTGGTCCTCAAATCTTCAGTGGCCTGAATGCGGTTCGGCCATTCGAACACAAATCGTGTTTGAATCTTAAAAACATGGTTCTTGACAAGAAATTTTGCACTCAAAAAATTGTCATCATCCTGCTGCTGATTTTTGGCCCTACTGTATCGTTAGGCCCAAGTGCCGATACAGATACAAACCGCGGTAGATCCAAGTACTGATACAGACAGCGTTAGGCCCAAGTACTGATATAGACAGTGGTAGATCCAAGTACTGATACAGACAGTGGTAGATCCAAGTACTGATACAGACAGTAGTAGATCCAAGTACTGATACAGACAGTAGTAGATCCAAGTACTGATACAGACAGTGGTAGATCCAAGTACTGATACAGACAGTGGTAGATCCAAGTACTGATACAGAGAGTAGTAGATCCAAGTACTGATACAGACAGTAGTAGATCCAAGTACTGATACAGACAGTAGTAGATCCAAGTACTGATACAGACAGTAGATCCAAGTACTGATACAGACAGTGGTAGATCCAAGTACCGATAAAGACAGTGGTAGATCCAAGTACTGATACAGACAGTAGATCCAAGTACCGATAAAGACAGTGGTAGATCCAAGTACTGATACAGACAGTGGTAGATCCAAGTACTGATACAGACAGTAGTAGATCCAAGTACCGATAAAGACAGTGGTAGATCCAAGTACTGATACAGACAGTGGTAGATCCAAGTACCGATATAGACAGTGGTAGATCCAAGTATTGATACATACAAGTAGATCCAAGTACCGATACAGACACTGTTAGGCCTAAGTACCGATATAGACAGTGGTGATGTTTTCTTTGTAAAATTAGCCCATTTCAATATGGCCGTAAAAAATGGGGTAGACACAAATAACTTTGCCACGGGAAGTCTCGTCTTAAGAAAATTAACACCACCATTGAAATGCTTCATTGTTACTGTTTGTATAATCAAGACTTCAGTATTAATTTCAATTACTTACATTCTAATTAATTGGAGCGCGGCTTTATTATAATGTTAAAAAAAGAATACTATAATTTAACAAAAAAATGTTAATTCACTCTTCACTTCCGAATGTACAGTTCGCGAGAAGAGATAACCTATTTATTGTTGCTCCTTGCCAACATTCTCCTGATCGTATTGCTACAAGATGTTATTGGCATGATGAACTGGTCATTAATGTGAGCCGGGAAGCAACGTCACGCAATGTGAGGGAACAATGGCGGGGTTGGGGGGGGGGGGGGGGTTGGGGGGGGGAGACGCTCGCAGATTAGTTAACTAAAGACACTTGAAGACACTCTCGTGTTTGCCCGCAGACTCTCAGGTATACACCGAGGAATGTGGCGAGGGTTGAATCGGCAGCCGATTGCGACGGTTAATATTTGACATCCCGACCTCACTGTTGGTCTGTGCTTTTGATTAATAGAAACGGACATTTTTATCTTCAGAAAGATGCAGCAGAGGTAGATTTGAAGTGGTTGGGGGGGGGGGGCAAGGGGCGGGGAAATGTTGGCGCCTTAAACCTCTTGCTCAAGGCGAGTTTTGGTTTTGTCAGAAAATGCCAGGTTCTTTAGCTTCGGAGGGGGGGGGGGGAGGTTAGAGTTTGCGTCGTGTGAGGAACAAAAAGAAATTAGGGGTGGTGGTTTGGTGGTTTGATTGCTGGGTGGAAATGAAAATAAAGCTTTGTTAGATTGCTGGTATTGAAGGAGGTGATGTAACGAAGCTTGCAGTGCGCGTGCTGAGATTGTAAATGAGGCATTATATCTCACTCACGCGAAAGCTCAAGTCCACTGGCGTTGCTGGACGATAGCTCAACCTACATTTTTTTTCCTCCTATTTTTAATGCTAAGGTAGACTGTCGGTCAGAACAAAGGACATGGCTAATTCATGGGGTCCATAGTAACCAGGGTTAGGAATCGTTAATCTCATTTTAACGTCGTAGTGCGCTTTTGTGTGTGTGATAGTTCTACCTATTTGACAGGTATGAATTCACAAACGCCGAGCACAGTCTGTGTGTGTGTGATAGTTCTACCTATTTGTGACAGGTATGAATTCACAAACGCCGAGGACTGTGTGTGTATGCAGTTTGTACCAATCGAAATTGAATGTGAATATTATGTATTGATAATATTGCGAATCGTAAATTCTCCGTATCAATTTAGTTTACGAATTCTAAAAAAAATAGAACTAGCTTACATAATATACATACAATAGTTCAATAGTAACTGTATACATTACAATCTCGCACTAGCTTTATCTTCATACATTTCTAGATCGCACTAGTTTTAACCACATACATTAAATACATCGCACTAGCTTTATCTTCATACATTACTAGATCGCATTTATTTTCATATATTACTCCATCGCACTAGCCTTGACTTCATACATTACTGGATCGCACTACCTTTAACCACATGCATTAATTCATCGCACTAATTTTAACTATATACATCAAGTACATCTCACTAGCTTTAACGCAACACTTGAAAATGTTCTTTAAATAAAATAGATTTAATCTTTCATTTGTGATTGACTCTTACAGCATCACCTACTCCTTATTCCACACACCCACTGCCGTGATGCAGCGGGCACACACCCACTGCCATGGTACAGCGGGCACACACCCACTGCCGTGGTACAGCGGGCACACACCCACTGCCGTTGCCGTGATACAGCGGGCATACATCCACTGCCGTTATACAGCGGGCACACAACCACTGCCTTTATACTGCGGGCACACACCCATACAGCGGGCACACACCCACTGCCGTGGTACAGCTGGCACACACCCACTGCCGTTGCCGTGATACAGCGGGCATACATCCACTGCCGTGATACAGCGGGCACACACCCACTGCCGTGACACAGCGGGCACACACCCGCTGCCGTGATATAGCGGGCACACACCCACTGCCGTGATACAGCGGGCACACACCCACTGCCGTGATACAGCGGGCACACACCCATTGCCGTGATTGCAGCGGGATTTGATAACCAGTAACATACAATGATGTAAAGGTCCAAAGAAGCGCTTCAATATATTCTAATTCCTGTGGGTTTTTTTTTTTTTTAACGTGAGCCCATTCCCGAAATTTTCCTGTGGAAATGTTAAGAAATAGATAAGTGGGTTTAACACAAGCATCTCTGTGTAACATTAGATAAGTGGGTTTAACACAAGCATCTCTGTGTAACATTTTTTCTGGCAGACGACACTAATTTGATACAAAGCAAGCAGCCGATGTTTGCATCGGACAAATTCTTGTGGAAACTGTACATTAAATGTCACGTGGACTTGCTCACTGTGACATCAACTTTTTTCCTTCTTTATTTTGAGAGCGGTATTTGTGTGTACAAGGGTGGCTTGCCCGTGTGTGTACAAGGGTGGCTTGGCCGTGTGTGTACAAGGGTGGCTTGGCCGTATCTGTGCAAGGGTGGCTTGCCCGTGTCTGTACAAGTGTGGCTTGCCCGTGTCTGTACAAGTGTGGCTTGCCCGTGTGTGTACAAGTGTGGCTTGCCGTTCGAACCATTGCTCATTGTTAATCTTCACATTTCAGACCAGTTGTTATCGGGTGTCCCTGAAACCACTACTTATTTATTAGTAGATTTACGTAGAGAGTTTTCTTGCTTATTAAATGGGTAAAAAAAAATATTGCGCACCGACCGGTACAATACATCACTATCTTTTTTCTGTCTCTTAAAACAATAAAAACACTGAGTCCGTTTTGTCACGGGTGAGTTTTAAAAGAATTAAACTAAACTGTTTGTGGAATGTTCAACTGTGGAATGTTCAACTGTCGAATGTTCAACTGTGGAATGTTCAACTGTGGAATGTTCAACTGTGGAATGTTCAACTGTGGAATGTTCAACTGTGGAATGTTCAACTGTCGATTGTTCAACTGTCGAATGTTCAACTGTCGAATGTTCAACTGTCGAATGTTCAACTGTCAAATGTTCAACTATCGAATGTTCAACTGTCGAATGTTCAACTGTCGAAAGTTCAACATATCACCTCTCGTTTTCCTGTTTCTTGCTTACCTTTAACCCTTTAATAATTATTTCTGTTCCAATTTTCCTGTCTTTCTGTTTCTTACAAAGCGTTTCTTTGTTTCAGTTCAATTTTGTGGGTCGAATCCTGGGGCCCAGGGGTATGACGGCCAAAGAATTGGAACAGTTCACAGGCTGTAAAATTATGGTCAGAGGAAAAGGTTCCATGAGAGACAAAGCAAAGGTAAGACGTTAGCCAGCTACTATGTATGTATACATTTAAAGAGAGAGAGAGAGAAACCAATTTTCCCACCCCATCCCCTCAAAAGATTCATTGACTGGACACACGAGCAAGCATTGATATGCTGCACACCCTACACCATTTTTAGCTGTCTTTAGTGGTATGTGAGGTTACACCGTGAATGCATAACGACGTATAAACAGATACACATGGAATCAGGGGCCGTCCCTTCAATTCTGGAAGAGAAAGGTTCCGCCACTCTTCCCAAGAGCCCAATTGAATCGATAATTCTCTGGGCTTGCCACCCCTGATACAACACTCTGGGGAGGCAACTATCCCACATCAGGATGTCCGCACTGTTCAGCTTTCATTTTGGGGGTTGGAGACGGGGAAAGGGGGGACAGTTTTGAAAACACAAAGAGACATGTTATGAGAATATTATTTTTTTTATGTCCAACATAAGCAGTTGATGTTTGGAAGTGGCAAATTGAGCAAATTTTGCATTAACAGAAGCATCATGCGCCAGTTTGTTATTGTAATGTTAGCCATGTAATTGTTGCAAGGGGCGAATGTTTTTATGACAGGAGTGAAGTTGTTCACCAAACATCTAACAATTATGTTCAGTCTGCTGTTGCAGCCGTCAATTAAGTTAAAGCTGCTGGTACAGCCAACATTTACATTAAGGCTGCTGGTACAGCCAACATTAAGATTAAGTCTGATGGTACAGCCAATATTAAGATTAAGGCTGCTGGTACAGCCAACATTATGATTAAGGCTGATGGTACAGCCAACATTAAGATTAAGGCTGATGGTACAACCAACATTAAGATTAAGGCTGATGGTACAGCCAACATTAAGATTAAGGCTGATGGTACTGCCAACATTATGATTAAGGCTGATGGTACAGCCAAAATTCAGGTTAAGGCTGCTGGTACGGACACCCATTTAGGTTACTGCTGATGGTACAGCCAACTGGTGGTGGATGTAGGTTACTGCCGCTAGTAGAGAGGCCATGTTTCTCCATTTTGCAAGAAGTCATAAAAGCCACAATTCGTAACGGAAAAATACACATCTGATCAATAGGGTATTTAGACCTGCACACACCCCTCGCCCCACTCCCCCCACCCCCATCATAAATACCCCTTCCGGTACCCCTTCCCCGGCCCCCATCCACACGGCCAGGACATACGTTTGGTCACGGTCAGCCAATAAGGCCTGTAAGTTCCCGTAGACTACATATGAACCTGACACGGATCGATTGCTGCATTCATCCGGCATTTCTGGTCTTGTATTGTCTTGCTAGGAATGCACAGCAGTTGGCAGGCCTTGCGATTCCAACATTCCCGCTTTCATACAAGCAGTGCTTGTTAGTTTGAACTATATAAACATTTACTTCAACAGTTTTATATTTGACTCATGCCCCATCCCTCAAGCTCCTTCTCCCCCCCCCCTCTCCTTTTTTCATTACGCGCACGTATAGCTGTTGGACGGACATGGTTCGAAAGCCCATGTTTGTTTTGAATGAATGTTTTTCAGCTTGATTGATTGCTGGCCGACTGGATTGCTTTTCCAGTGTGTTGGTTGTTCAAATTTGATTGTTGTTCAACTACAAAAGTTGTTGACCTATAGTTTGTAGGGCTGAGCCGGGTGCCAACCCGGAAATGTTGAGCATTGGCGCACCCGGCACATACCCGGAACCGGGCAATGAAACGGAACAGGGACCGGTAATTAAATGAAGTTATCTTCTCATTTTCTAAAATGTGTTTCACCCCATGGGGAGAAATGAAAAGTACAAACATAGAACCAGTATATCTTTTTCACATTATTATTATTATGTTATTTTTTTTGGGGTGGGGGGGGGGGTTACATTTTACTGTACCTCATTTTACATGTATTTTTAAATAAATAACAGAAAACTGAATTTGTGCGAAACTAAATGTAAGCTAAATGATAATACGAATTGTGTAAAAAAAAATGGGTTGCAAAGAATAATGGGTTGAAAAGAATAATGGGTTGTGAGTAAAAAGGGGAGGGGAGAGAGTTTACATTTTACTGTACCTCATTTTACATGTATTTTTAAATAAATAACAGAAAACTGAATTTGTGCGAAACTAAATGTAAGCTAAATGATAATACGAATTGTGTAAAAAATAATGGGTTGCAAAGAATAATGGGTTGAAAAGAATAATGGGTTGTGAGTAAAATGTGTATTTTTCGGATTTGAATTTTCATTTTTAAAATTAAAATATTACTTTTAGTGATCGTATAAATTTCTTATTGTTACTACGCTCTGTCTAAACTCTGACCACACTACATTTTCAAAAAAGATGCAATTTAAAAACTGATTCATTTTCGCTGGATGTCGGCAGCTAAGGTAGCACTTCCTTTCAATTAAAAAAAAAACAAACATTACATTATAATGACGATTTTAAGTTTTTGTAGAATTTTTTTTTCTTATTTGTCACATTTGAAAAAAAAAAATTATAAATCTAAAATAAAAATTAAAAGTTGACAACTTCCACGATAATCCGTAGCCAGGTGTGTGAATGTTTTCAAATATTTTCTGGGGATTGACTTACAGACCCCCTTATGTAAACACCCCCTCCCCCCCCCCACTTACAGATCCCCCCTCTGTGGAACCCTCCCCCCAACCCACCTTTCTTAGCCCTTATTTGATCACCCGATCAAAATTCCAATACCAGCACCATTTATCTACAAAAAGGTTAACCCCGACCCGAGAAGTTTCATCATTTCAAGGTATTTTTATGGTTGTGGGTCGCCACAACTTGGCAAATGTTATAAGGGTTGGGGCACTAAAAATGTTGAGGACCGCTTAGTTAGGAATATATCATTAAGCTAGCTATTTGTGTTTTGAAGCCTAAAACTTTGATGGCTTCTGGATCGCTGATGGTTCTATGCATGTACTTCTCACGTCTCCCCACATAAAAAAAGGAGAAGATAGCCTAGCACCCGACGGGTATTTTCTCAAAATACCCGGACAAGATCACCCGTCGGGTATTTTATCACCGTACCCGGACTGGATGTAAAAATGTAATAAACATAAACTACACCCAGCTCAGTCCTAGTGGTTGTTCCTACACGCTGCCAGTGTGAGAATAGAAGCATTTTTTTAAAACCAGATATATCATTGTTATAATATCATAGTATCACTACATATATCATTAGTATGACACTGGGTGTTTTTACAATAGTAACACACTGGTCCGATAATGGTCACGTGGTGATAGTGGTGTAGAGGCGTTGGTTCACGGAGCTGAACTTTGCCAGCTTCACTTATTTCCCTATCTAAATAATCCAGTATAGCCTGATGATCTCCGTCCCTGGAGTGGTAGTGGTGGTGGGGGGTGGCTGGGAGGGAGGTTGCGTGTTGTGTGCGGTCAACGCGGGACGCGAGCCCGCCCCCCCCCCCACCCCTTTTCCGGTCGTAAACGTGGCATTAATTATGCAGGCCAGGAAATGCAACAGGTTGACACTTTCTTAAACGCTCATTTTAATATTTGATCGCAGGAGATTTAGTTATGTCTGATGAGATGCTCGCACGGCATGGTTAGGTTATGTCAGATAAATGACATCCCCACATGGCATGGTTAGGTTTGGTTAGATAGGCGACATCCCCACATGGCGTGGTTAGGTTTTGTTGGAAACATGACATCCTCACACACCATGGGTAGGTTTTGTTAGATACATGACATCCTCACACACCATGGGTAGGTTTTGTTAGATACATGACATCCTCACACACCATGGTTAGGTTTTGTTAGATACATGACATCTTCACACACCATGGTTAGGTTTTGTTAGATACATGACATCCTCACACACCATGGGTAGGTTTTGTTAGATACATGACATCCTCACACACCATGGTTAGGTTTTGTTAGATACATGACATCCTCACACACCATGGTTAGGTTTTGTTAGATACACGACATCCTCACACACCATGGTTAGGTTTTGTTAGATACATGACATCCTCACGGCATGGGTAGTTACCGGTACGAAAAATATTCCTCTTGATGTCATGTGTATTAGAATTTAGCGTTATTTTGGAGAGTCGCCTTGATTTAATCTTTAAAGTAACGAACTTAAGACGCGTGCTTTTAAGTATTGCTGGTAACGAGAGAGGTTGAGGATCGTAATACGAGGGGATTTACTGATTGTGCGACAATGAGAATCATAGTTACAAGGCTGGTGAATTGTTTCGACGTAGTTGTATACCAGTAACAATGCTCACCACTGATGAAAGTAATTGACATACACAAAAAAATGTAATTAGCCCAAGGCAGCTGGTGGTGTTTGTTCTTAAAGTCTCATTGTGAGAGGCATTGGAGCGTGAACGGACGCAATGGCGATTTCCCTTTGGAACCAGTGCACGGATGACTTCTTGGTACAAACTGCTCCAGGCACACTCCTCGCTAGATGCCTGCACTAGAACGTGTTTCATGCAGTCTCCCCCCCCCCCCCCCCCCCCCCCCCCCCCCAAGACCCCCGCGCTGGAAATGTCATGGTCTTCGAGTTCACCACAAAACATACGAATTAAGGTGAGATGACTATAAAGGCCTCACCTGTAAAGAAAGAGGTTTGTTTTGAACTCATTATCCAAGTTGAAATAAAACCGTAGTTCGGTTTACCGGATTGTAGCCTAAAGGTGTCTAGGGTTAAAAAAAAATACATAAATCTAAGCTCATTTCTTTGTCAGCCCACACCCCAAGATCAGAACGCCACCCACGCCACCCTATTCCGACCCAGCCGAGACACCCGCAAACCCGCCTTCTTCTGCGTTTGACCACCGTTTATTCTGGTTTTTGTTTGTTTGTTTGACAGGAAGACCAGAACAGAGGCAAGGCCAACTGGGAACACCTAAACGAAGACCTCCACGTACTCATCACCATAGAGGACACACGGAACAGGGGAGAAATCAAATTACAGAGGGCCAAAGAGGAAGTCAAAAAATTATTAGTCCCAGCTGTAAGTCATGTGACGCTTTTCATAACGTCTTTTTTTTTTTTTTTTTTTTTTTTTTGTGGTTTTTTTTTTTTTTTTTTTTTTTGTTCTTTTATTTATTTACTACAAATAAAAGAAAAAAAAGAATTAAAAAAAAAAAAAAAAATAGATATTAGACAGTGTTTCTTGAAAAGTAGGGCATCTCGGACTTTTCAAAGCTCTAAAATGTTTCACTTAATTTTTTAAATTACTTATGAAAAAATACATATTTTGAGCTGCTGAAATATCCGTTTGAGAAACACTGTGAACTGAATTGCCTGGGATAACCCGGTAAGAGTTATTGGAGGATGGATTTGGTTAATGGATAATCTGTGGGTTTCAAAAATGGGTAATAGTGGGTTTCAAAAATTGATAACCATTGTACTTGGTAAACAAACAAACAAAAGTTGGATTTTAGATGTTTGATAATAGTGGGATGCAATTGAAAAAGGATACAAGTTGCGACCATAAAATGATCCTATGTTTTCTCCAAAAGTTTTATCACTTCAATATAAATGTTAGTTTTTGTTGAATATTTGGTGCCACTTTTTTGTTAGTGTTAACATTTCTTAGCATTAACATTTTTTTAAAGTGGTAATAACTGTACATGGTAACATTTCTGTGTTTATGTAAGCGTTTGAAGTAATTGTAAGGGTGTCTATACTCTACCCAACCCAATATTTTCATTTTAGATGTTGTACTGTACGCTTGCGCCTCCAGCTATATTTCAGTTTCCAATTTTAACATTCTATGCCCCCTCTTCAAAACCTAACCGCACAATGACTTAAAAAGCTTGCACCGTCAATGCAAAAAAAAATATTAAAAAATGAACTTGATTCACGCCGTCGGTGATATGAAAAATTCGTTATACCAAACGCGATTTTCTTGTAAAATTTTTGTTATAGTATCCTAGAAAATGATTACGCATTTTAACATTATTTGGGAAACTTTCGTGGAATGAAAAGTTCAACGTATGTACGCGTACAAGGTCCCGCTGTATCTTGGTCTACTGGCGGGCGTACGAGGTCCCGCTGTATCTTGGTCTACTGGTGTGATGGCTTGGAAGACAGATACTGAGCAATATGACGTCCAACGTAGAATTATTATTTTGAGGTGCGTGTTTCTGGCACTGTGTCATCCAAGATGGCGTTTTAGATATGTATGGGAGCCTCATTACAACATCCTCGTGGATTCTTAGCATGAAAAGAAGAGCGGAACAAAAAAAAAAAAAGCCCTAACAACTCCAGGAAGCGAAGCAGGAATATTTTTTATATTTTTCTTTTTGGGTTGTTAAAAATCTCTCTCGCCACGCTCTCGTCAGAAATTCAATGGCGTTTTAGATATGTATGGGAGCCTCATTACAACATCCACGTGGATTCTTAGCATGAAAAGAAAAGCGGAACAAAAAAAAAAAAAGCCCTAACAACTCCAGGAAGCGAAGCAGGAATATTTTTTATATTTTTCTTTTTGGGTTGTTAAAAATCTCTCTCGCCACGCTCTCGTCAGAAATTCTATTCTAGCTTGTGTGTGAACTCGTTAGAAAGAGCAACAGGGATGATAAATCACTTGTCCTAACGCATAACTCCACACAGTTGACTCGCTTTTCTTACAGCGCCGAGTCGTGCCGTCTGAAGGATCAGGCGTGATTGCCTCCCTCTTGGCAACCGTTGGCAGCTAATAAAGAATGGGGGAATCATTTTTACGACCCACATTTTCCTCACAGAAACTATCTGGTTTTGAAATGTTCAAATCCCTCAGACGGAAAAAAAGAAAAAGAAAAGAAAAGAAACAAACCAAAAGATGGGGTCGGCAGGGGCGCTCCCAACCGTCATAACCCAGGCTAGGTGATGATTGTAATCATTCTGTAAGTTGGTCCAGTCTTGCAAACAAGTATGAATGTCTGCAAGCTTCTCTTGGACTGCCTTGCAGAACATGATATTAAGACGACGTGAGGTTGATCGCAACAGCGGCAGTTGTGAAGATCAAGACAAGAGTCATACATGAATTGTGAACATCATAAGTCATACATGAATTGGGAACATAAGTCATGCACGAATTGTGAACATCATAAGTCATCCATGAACGTCTAAAGCTGGCCCATGTCAGAAGCACGATACTCCACTCACGCACCCCTCCTCCTACCAATGTATTCAAATCTACGTCATGAAGCTGCTTTGATATTGCTCCGTGGATCCAACCTTAGCCTCCGTAGCATTGTGACGTTAACATACATCCTGTCATACATTTTGAGAGAAATCTCACATATAGAAATTATTTTCATCCCATATTTACACCAAAAAATAAAAAAAAAAATGTCTTATTTTTGAAATTCTAATTTTGCGGTTTTGTCTTGAAAAAAAACCCACAAAAAAAAACAATTTGTGTATGCACCGTCATGCACTCCCACACTGCTCGCGCTCTGACGCATGCAGCGATCCCACGACGACGTGCCTCATTCTGGACATCTCAAGTATGGCCGACAGTAAATGGGAAATACTGCCATCAGTCTTTCAGATGATTGGTGGCCTCGGGGAGACTCGAGTTTATGCGTTCGGGAGGGGAAGATCACGGTGAAGCCCCGGAGTGGGTTGGGGGAGGATATTGAAAATATTGGTCCCCCCAATAAAAGCTATTATTAGATTATTGGCAAACAAATACCTCATGATATAGAAAGAGACAAAGAAATCACCAGCCGATTTGGGGGGGGGGGGGTTATGGCATAAAAGATTAATAGAGCAGGGTATGACGGGGTGAGGCGGTGAATGAATTTATTGGGATAGATTAAAAGGAAAGCGGGGGGAGGGTTGGGGTGGAGGGAAAAGAAATCACCAGCCGATTTGGGAGGGGGGGGGTGTTATGGCATAAAAGATTAATAGAGCAGGGTATGACGGGGTGAGTCGGTGAATGAATTTATTGGGATAGATTAAAAGGAAAGCCGGTGGAGGGTTGGGGTGGAGGGTGCGATGGACGTACGTTATCTGAGTTAAGCAGGGTCCCCACTTATTTCATCCCTGGATCACCTCCAATAATAAAGAAAAAAATTATTTAAAAAAACAACAACCTAGCAATCACGAGAGGCAGAAGGCATCTTTATTGTTTTTCTTTTTCTACTCCCCCCCCCATACACACACACACACACACACACATTCCCGGACCTCAACGCCGGCACAATTTACCCATGTCTGTAAATGAGAAGCACAGACATCATTTTAAGAAGATAAGAAAAAAGCTTAAGACCTGAATAATTTCACAACTATTCCTCCCCTTCGTTTATTTCTTGAAACCCTTTTCAATCTGTTTCCACGCGAATCCCACCATCGGCTTATTTGTTATTTTTTTTACTTTTGTAAACAAAAAATATCTCATTCTCCGTTTCTGAAAATAGCCGACAGCCTAAAAGCTAATCTACAAGTTTCGCCTTACGGCTCTGAAAATAGTGTGTGTAGGGGAAAAGGGGGGGGGGGGGCGGGCGGAAAGATGCTCTACCGTACTTTCCAGAAATATATTTTGTAACACCCATCGCCTTCTCCGTTTGTTATTTCACTTGAACCCCTCATGTGCGTATCGGCTCCCCAACAGAAATGATATTTTCATACGACTTTTAACGCCTTACCTCCCGAAATAGCTCACCTGCTAGAATCGGCGTCAAATCTCGTTAGATAAGTACGGGAACTTGTCTGCGCTACGAGATGGTGCAATTAGTTACGCTGGAGCAGACACGGGTTTGTTTGAAGTCAATAGGGCGTGCTTTTCAGCACCGTGGAGAACTGAAGTTGAACAGACATGTCATGGTGCGTACATGCCTGGTGCGTACATCTAAAAACCCTGTAGTAGAACGAACACTTTGAGAGCGTGGCGTGGAACTAAATTTGAAATGACTTGATATTAGCCTTTAAAGGGTTGTTGTCTTTATCAAAATAAAAAATCTGCCGCAATTAATTTTATTGACACTCAACTTTTTTTGGTTAAGTTTATGCATAATTTCTAGTACGGTATTTTTTATCATACACCGTAATAGAATGCCGCCCCCCCCCCTTTTTTTTTCTCCCGAGAGTGCTGCTGGGATACATGCAGTTCAGTTCGCATGTAAGTCTTAAGCAGTCTTATTTTTGTGAAATTTATTGAAATTTCTTGGAGAGAAGATTGTGGTCGCGATATTACGTAAGGAGGCAGATTTATCCGTACCCTAATTTATGTTACCGATGTGGCCAGCGCGCCTAAATTTTAGCCTTTCTTTTTAACGCCAAAAATATAGTTACTGCTTTGGTGTGCCAGTCAGCACCAGAGTTTTGTCTCAGTTTATTTTTGTGTAGAACCCAAAGGAGTTAGCGGATGTATCAGCAGAGCAATAGTGGGACGGTGTTAGTAAGTGATTTTGCGAGTCTTCATAAAGACCCTATCACATCATCGATCGATCGATTATCGATTGATTTGAACTTTCCTTTAAAAAAAAAAAAGGTAACGGTGCCACCATCTGCTCGTCAGTCCCTGGTGGTGTAAGAACCCACGTTTGCATGTCGGCTGTACCCTTCTTTAAGCATAGGGCACCTGACGTGGAGAAGTATGCCTGTCCTGACAATACCGTGTGTGTTTCTCCGTCCTGATGGATGCGGCCAGTGGACGGCCTGGGCTACGTTGTCCGTGGCCCGTGTGCTCCGGTCCTAAATGGATGCACTTGTTTGGCTTCCGCGTGCGTGCTGAGACGGAGTTCCAGGCCAACTAAATAAAGGCTGGTAGTTTATGTTGGCTTATTCAGACCCGAGTCTTCTTTCAGTCGATACCGTCGGTTCGTGTTTTAGAAAGGCGCCCGCTTAGGATCGCCGCCATTCAACGGTATGATCGATTCCGTTTGAAATTGGTGGTCGTTGCCATCTCAGATCGTGTTCGTTGACAAATATCAATTTAGGATTGATGCCATTTAATACGCGGCCGATACCATGTCAATTCATGATCGGTACGATTTCAAACAATTAATGGTTAGATACCATTTAAATCAACGATCGATACGTTCAATTAATGGTCCTTGTTTGGTATTTCAATCGAGATCGATACCATTCATTTCATAGCCGTTACAAGTGATGGGCGTTGCCGTTCATAAATTAGATTATGAGTCAAATTTATCCCTATTGTCAACGAAACTAGAATTGTTTCCCCAAACTATATTGGGGTAACTATCATCCCGCCCCCTCTATCCTTCCCATTTGAGAATTTGTATCGCTTTTCTTTGAAATACACCAGAGTTCACCAGAGGGAAAGCATGAAGCATAAAAACCTGCTTCTTTTTTTCCCCACCCTCTTTAACCTTTTTCCCCACCATCTTTAACCTTTTTCCCCATCTTTAACCTTTTTCCCCACCATCTTTAACCCTGTGCATAAAATGATAGTCCAAGGTGTGGCTATTTTAAGAATGTTTGGTGCATTGTTTCTTTATAACTGAAGGATCCTTCTTTTTAAATTTGGGTAAAAAAAAAATAATAAATAAACAAAAAAATGCTCACTGTTTTTAGAAACTGTAAAGTTAACTGTAACCATTTAGCTATTGTTGGAATCGACCACATCCTGTCTGGCTCATTAAAGCTGAAAATGGAACACCCCTGGGTTAGGGGTAGGGGAGCCGTAAAGGGGGTTTATGGGGGTTAGGGCAAGATAATAACAGGTAGATACGATGAAATTATCTAGGGGGGGGGGGGTCAAATAATAACGGGGTCAGTTTAAAATCGATCTATATAATATGACCAGTTTCGATCTCGTGGACTGCCCATAACTATATTATACTTCCCAGACATGATAGTTTATCATATAGCGTACTATCTTGACACTATTCCAGTGTCCAGACTTTTTAGTCTTAAACTACAATCCATCCATCCATCTCTGTGGCGCTACAGCCTATGTAGGGCTTTTGGCCTGTCTCACCACTTCCTTCCACTCACACCTAACTGATGCTTTTCTTTTCCATGCCTGAATTCCCAGCCGTTGTAGATCCTCTCCCACATCATCCTTCCATCGGAGCCTAGGTCTGCCTTGAGGCCGTTTTCCTCTGGGTTTTTGGTGATGTGCCCTCTTCACTCCTCAGTAATTTAAACTACAAATGTAATGAAATTACAAGTCGATTTGTACCATCGTAAAATTACGATTAGTGCGATCATAACCTTGAGTTTGGAAGCTATGAAAACATTTAGAAACATGTCTTTCAGTGACGTGAATGCCTTCAGATCGGATTCTTTATAATGTAAATCCTCGTGATTTTGCTTTCTGATCTATTTTTGGTAGGCGGTTTGAAAATAGTGTGTGTGTGGTGGGGGGGGGTGTTAGATATAATATGTAACTTTTAATGTATGTTAATGATATAATTTTAAATTTAGGTTGGTGATATAAATTTTGATGCGTGTATGGCCATTTAAAAAAAAAATGGCGGGGAGTTGGGGGAGGGGGGCGAGAGAGAGAGAGAGAGAGGGTGAAAGCCAACTTTGAAGCATCACCCCCCCCCCTTTTTTTTTTCCAAATCTCTTATTTTTACATTTAAAAGATCTGAGCTTTTAAAACTTTAAGTACTGCGTTCAAACNTTTTTTTTTTCCAAATCTCTTATGTTTACATTTAAAAGATCTGAGCTTTTAAAACTTTAAGTACTGCGTTCAAACACTGCCCACCCCTCTCCCCATAGGCCATATCTTGGCACGTGGGACTTTTTAAAAAAGATAACTATTTGCAAAACTATACGGGAAAATAGATTGGACGAACAGGAGCCCGGGGTGGGGGGGGGGGGACTGAAGAGTCATGTTGTACAAATATCTGATCCACTTGTAAAAGATGTACCGTGATTACACATCTTAAGATTTCCCTCTTCCCCCCCCCCCCCCAAACGGTGGGACAAATATAAGTGGATGGTGCACCTGTTATCCCCGTGTCGTAATCATGCCAACGATAGCACCCGTCTCCCTTCATCAGGTAAAGACTTCCTCTTGATTCCACGCTGCAATAAAGATTTGGCCCCGGCCACATACATACATATATATATATAGCAAAGTGGGTTTATTGGTCAGCAAGCCCAAGGCAAACTTTCCCGAGTAAAGTCGTTTTTGTAGTGGTGGATGTATCTATAGTGTGAACTATATCCTCTTGCTGCGGAGTTAGTTACCAACGATCGCACCGCACCCACCCACTGAGAGATGATGGTCGCGTGCGGTTCACACGGTTTAGTTTGAATTACTGAATTGCTAATGAGGCATATGGTCGGTATTGGCCATATTTCACTTCTAGATTGGCCAAATTCAGCGAGCCCGTGGAAATAGCCCCAGAGACCATGAGAATAGCTCACCGTGAGTATAGCCCACCGTATAAAGGACAAGGACGGATCATCCAAACATCTCCACTCCTTTCACAGACTTCAGCATGTGAAGCTCATTATCTCCCCTCTCTCACCCCTTCCCTCTTCACGCAAGGAAACTAACTCACCAAGATTCTCCTTGTTGCCTGCTGTTAATTATCACCACTTTATGTCGCCACGACCAAAATGCCCATTTTTGAAAATTATAAGCGATGCGGTCATTTATTTGACCGAACCCATGCAGCAATCGCTCTTACCGACTCGAGAGTAAACTGTCTTTTTCTTTTTTTTTCTTCCTGAAATTTAAGCCTGTATATATAATATATAAGAGTAAAGGTATCTATTCATTGTGGGTGCCAGCAATGCTATATTTTGACAAGGGTTGCCTTCCAGTGGCTTAAAACAAACTTTGCCTTCTGTTCTATCGTCTTATGTTCCCACCTCAACCACCCCCCCCCACTTCTGCCACAGCCATTCCCTAGCCACGCATACATCACACCAACATGTCACACAAGCAAGCATTTAGGTTCGGTTCATACTCAACTGGTTCATACTCAACTCGGCTCAGTTTTTTTTTATTTTTACTTGGCACCAAATCTGTGTAGCAGCAATGGTTTGTGACTGGAGGTGAAAAAAAAAAGAAGGGGGGGGGTGGGTGGATAGAAGGGGTGGCTTTAGAAAATATGGGGTAGAAAGTCAGGAAATGACCAACTATATGAAACTATACTGTAAACTAATTGGTTTGCTGTACAGAAGAAACAATTTTGGTGCTCCAATGACTCATATTGAATATATCTCCTTNCCTTTTTTTTTTTTCTTCCCTTTCCCAAAGTCATATCTTGGTGGTCATGGCCTCTCACCCTAATCTGAGCCAGCACTCTTCCACTTCTTGGTTCTGAAAGCAATGCCTCTAGACACGGGGTCTAACACAGGGGGGCACTAATCTGGTTTTATCAGAGCTGACATGTTGTCAGAAGAACTGTATCACCAGTAATCAGCAGGGATTGTCCTCCTTGTGGCGCTGAAGGATAGAACAGGAGAAGCAGAGATGGCCAAGCGTCTAGATGTGTTTGTTGCACAGTAACCAAATATGTTGTCAAATTAAATACTTCCATTATGGTTATCCACAGACTTTAACAAAATATCTATTTTTTTCACCTTAATTTTATTTTTTAATTAGCATATCCCTTGACCCATTTTACCATTTTTAAAATTATCTTTTAAAAAATGTGTATGTGGGGAAAGTTTGGGGGCAAAAAGGGGGGGGGGAGGGTTTGTAAGTATTTGAAGATATCTTATGGGCTCCTGAATAATTTTATTTTTACTTGTTTCGCTACTCTGGATTAAAATTTTGATTGTACTTGAGATAATTGACACAAACCTTGCAGGTTTATTCTGAGTACAATGGCTCTCTTTAATTCTTATATTGCTGGCTTTTCAGATAAAGAGTGTAATTTGTTGTTGATTTCTTACCTCTGTTACTTTTTGAGATTCATTTTAACCAATGCATTGTAATGAGATCAGAGAAACTCTTATTTGGTTAGGAAATGCAGGGAAAGGGTTGAGTTGTGAATACCGGTAATGCATAACCAGTAATGAATAACTATAACTAGTAATGATGAACTAGTAATGAATTACTAGTGATCTAGTAATGAATTACTAGTGATGAATAACTATTAATGAATAACTTGCTTGGGACTCATAGTCCCTGCACAATCACTAAGTTAAGATCAAATGAGCATAGATCAGCCTATCATACATTTGGGCAACATGAATATTGGTGCTTAATATCATTTATGCCCATATCTTTTAAGACCAATTTTTTTTTCCAGTGGTAAATTGTCTGGGTACAATGGATGGGGAGAAAAAAATGTCCACAACTTGTATGCTGTGAAGGCACTGGGTTGAGAAAGATTTTTTTATGAAATGGGCTCAGCCAATGGGATTGAGATGGTGGTTGGCGAAGAATTTTTTGTTTTAACTGGCACTTTTCTTTCAGCCTGATGGAGAAGATGATTTGAAGAAGAGGCAATTGATGGAGCTTGCAATCATGAATGGCACCTACCGAGATGCTAAACTCTTTCACCCTGCTCAATTTGCACGTAAGTCACAAAGGGCCAGGTTTTTTAGCCACCCCTTCCGTCTGCCTTTGCAGGCAGCGAGGTCACACTTTTATTAACCCCATCTGGACTTATTCACTAACCCGCCATCATTCACTTGTTCTTTCTTTTAGCCGGACGGAGAGGATGATCTCAAGAAACGCCAACTCATGGAGTTAGCTATAATTAACGGGACATATCGAGACACGACCAAGCCATCTCCGGCACCCACCCAGAATTCAGTGCCTGGTCGTAAGTGTGCTCGGAGTTTGCCCTCACCCAAAAAAAAAAAAAACTTCGTCAAACAAAAATTACTCGGCCCACTGACTATTTTAATCTTTCGTACTGGTTACCTGTTGTCCCTTAGCTGTGTGCGGTGCCTGGCTTGTTATATTGACCATGAGTTATGGTTCCTTTTTCTCCTTATTTGCTGCAGTCTATTCCTATCTTTAGTTCACCTTTCTCCAAACATTTGGGTTGCAATTGGTCTATTTATATTTATATAAATATGTCATTTCTTGTCTGCAGGGTTGGTAGCACTGAGATATTAGGCTAGGTGAAATCTCTGTCCAAGTCTTTACATGTCCCATATTTTAAGCAACCATAACGTTATCTAAAAGGATTTGAAAATGACTTTTTGCAGTCTCCAATATTTTCCTAATTTGAAGGATAACCCACAACCATTAATAACAAAGCATACTATTATAATATATTTTTTCCACTTAAAAAATTTCAGTGCTTCCAATTACTGCATATGTTATTCAAATTTTTGTAGTTAGTGACAATCTTATATTACAACTAGATTTTTAGATATTATTACCTAATGCATGTGGAATAATAATTCCCCCCCCCCCCCCCCCTTAAAAACAGGTGTGTTGGATTAAGCTGTATACATGTTTATTATTTACAGCAGGGCTTAGTAAATGATTTTAAAACAAAGTAGCTTGATTGTAAACAATAAAAATGTAAGAAGTTTTTATTTGTGTACATTAAAGAAAGATGGGTTGATAGGGTAAAAAAACATGATCATCAACTATGCACCAGTTAAATTTTATGAAATCTATTGAACTTTTGGTGTTTGGATAACAATAGTTTTAAAAAAGGCAAACATTTTCTTTACTAAGCCTTTTGAAAAATCTTTTCAGACAAAAGAGCAGTCCTACATAATCATTGTTTATTCTGCTTCTGGATGGGTTCCCTAGCTTTCCAGAGTCTGGCCATTTTGTGTCTTCAATCAGATTTTTTCTCTTTATTATGTCATTAGCATTTTTGTGTGTGTTTTTATTGCATTTCTTTTAATATATAACTACTATCATAAAATGCAGTATATTTGGGGCACTAACTTTTGACACATCAGTAAAAGTGTTTTTAAAAAAATGTGAAGATGATCCAAATTTATTAATTTGAGAAATTTCAGATTTCAATTTTTCAAACAGTTGAGTAAAGATTTACAGCTCTTTTTTTTTTTTTTTTTTTTTTTTTTTTTTTTTTTTTTTTTTTTTTTTTTTTTTTTTTTTTTTTTTTAAAAAATTTAATAAAAATTTAAAGTTTTTTTTTTTTTTTTTTTTTTTTTAAAAAAAAAACAAAATTTTAAATAGCCAATGGCCATAATTCATTTTTTAATTTTCCCCTTCAGTACAGCAGTTTGCCAACCAAGATATTAAATTAGGCTAGAGACAGGCCTCTCAGTGCATGCTGGGCTTTTATGTATTTATTGCATGTTTTTAATGAACTTGACATAGTGTAGCAATATGTAGACACTTTTCTTCTGTTTCCCAATTTCTGATGCAATGAGCCATAGTGCTCATTAACTCTTTAAAAAAAACTTTAGCTATGTTGTTAAAACAAAAGGAAATGGCTCTAGTAAATACTTGTTAAAAGATTGTCAGATTTAAGGCACAATTTGGTGAGGACAAAATGAAACAAATAATTTCTTTTAAATTATATTAAAAATAAAGTATCTAATCAGTGAGTTTCATCAATTTTTTAATTAAATTTTTTTAAATAGAATAATGTGGCACCCGAACTTGGAAAAACTCATTTGAATTCAATTGTTAAAACTTATTTATTTAAAAATGTGTACAGGCTTTTCAAGAAAACTTGAAAATTTTAACTACCAGGAAACTTAACACAAATCTTGACTCATGTACTAACTACAAATCAAATTTATAAATGAAATATTTTGAATTGTTTATACTTTCAGACTTCGTCCACCATAATGACCGCACATGGAGCAACCCGTTTGGTCAGTGAAATGGAAAATTTTTATTTGAGCTCAATTGATCCAAATAGATCATTAAGTGATTCTTGATTCTTTTATTGATGAGCCAGAATCACCAAGCTTTATTTTGGATCACTTGGACTCTTGTTAATTGTTCTAACCCTGTATGACAGTGAAGGCGGAATTAATCTGTTTTGTCATTTTTGTTATTGCCCATGCTCATTATGGTGGACTAAGCATTGATTTTGTCATACTTATTAGTTCTACTGACTTTTCTGTTTTATTTATCTTAGGTATTTTATTAAATGCAATCCATTTTTGTTATACACCACTATTTATTAACATGTTTTTAGTTGGGTTTTTTTTTACCTACATGCAACAAAACATACATCAGTAATATTAATTTGCATTTTATCATTAATCCAGCTAAGTTTTATTTAAACATTACAAAATTTTTGCACTTGTTTTACTTACAATGGTTCCTGCTCAAGAAATTATGAAATGTAATGAGTCGTTTGTTTAAAAAAAAGATATTCCAAAACTTGTATGTTGCAAAACATATTCTCATGAAATTAAAGCGCTGATTGCATTCATTGATATTCACTTTTCATAATGCAGTATGAGGCATAAAAATAATATTTTATGAAACAAGGAGGATTCTCCAAGCTAATTTTAAGAAACACGCTTACGAACATTTAATTTTTTATTTTAAAATATGTGCACAGTTGTGAAACCACAATCCATGTTTCCTTCCCCCCCCCCTAGAGGAAAGAGAATTGAATACAATTCTTCTCGTAAAAAAATGTAGCTACATATTAGGTTTTGTGGATCATAATTTTTTGAGCAGAAACCACTTTGTTAGACTCAATAGCTCCACTGTATTTAAATTTGTCCCGTTTCTCCCTAACCAAAGTGTGCTTTGCTCTTACCCCCACAGAAGCCCACCTCCAGCTGGGCGGGATGCCCATGTTCCTTCCCCCTGGCCACCCGGGGCAACCGGGAGTTCGTGCCCCTGGTCAGATGCCACACTTGGTCCCCGTTAGCGGGGCAAACTCCCTCTCTGATGGTTTGTCCATGTTGAATTCATTTTCTTTTGGCCATACGGGTACAGCGATATTTACCTAGCTTATATTTCCAACTAAACAAACTCACACCTTCATCTAACCGACTGCTAACTCTTAGGAAGATTCACAGGAGATCTTAGTCTTTAAAGAGAAAGATTTAGAAAATTAAATTATATCCTTACTTGTGGGTAAGAATAAAATCATGTGAAAATTGAACATCTAAATTTATTTGTAATGAAGGTTATATGAAACGTATGCGTATTAAATGCAAACGAGCCTTAAAATATCAACAAAAAAAAAAAAGAATTAAGAATTAGATAGCACATGTTTAAGCAGTTATTATGAAATGCACCAGTTATTCTGTTTAAAAAAAAAAAAAAACTTGAAAAAAAATTGAACATCTAAATTTATTTGTAATGAAGGTTATATGAAACGTATGCGTATTAAAAGAAAACGAGCCTTAAAATATCAACAAAAAAAAAAAAAGAATTAAGAATTAGATAGCACATGTTTAAGCAGTTATTATGAAATGCACCAGTTATTCTGTTTAAAAAAAAAAAAAAACTTGAAATGTAATTTTATGTGGAATTAATTTGGGAATCGTGCTTAGAACTGCTTTCATTTACTAATTTTAAATAATTAGACTAATACTCATAGATAGCATCATTCATTTCTAACAAGAGGATATGGTGTTATTCCTTGCTAATATTTTGTGTCATTTCAGTGTGGCTAACATGACAAATAGAAAATCACAACTGTGTAGGAATGGCCACGCAGGCAAAACTATAGCAAAAGTAGTGATTTTTCAATCTTGCAAATTTGATCAGGAGATATAAATAATAAAAAAAGTGCGCATGAAAAAAGAAACCTTGGCATGTGATTTCAGAGATGAAAGGAAATGCTAAGATTATTTATTATATAATTTTCTGATATTTTTTTTATAGTGTTGCTGTAAAAGAAACGAAACAAAAATAAACCCCACTAACAATAAGGATACCTTAAATTAGATGTCTGGTTAAATATTAACAATTCCCTTTTACCCTTTATTAACCTGAATTAACATTAACCTGACATTGTGCATATTTATTAATTTAATAGGATTTGTTGTTTAATTTGGATTAATTATTTTTCATCAAAGTGAAAAAGAATTGAAATTTGTCTGGATACATATGGCCTACATTATGTTTTTCATCATTTTATAAAATTGTTTGCTTACGAAAAGAAAGAAAAATTGAATTCATGAAAAAGAAAAAGAAAAAAAGGCCCATTATGGAAACCAAAAAGGAGTACATTTATCACAATTTGAAAGTCTTAAAAACAAGTAATCATTGTGGGTCATAAATGCATTAAGAAGCTATAATGAATGAAGTTTCAATGGGTCAAATATCTCCATTTGTAGTGACCAAGCACAGCTGTACAGCTCAGAGATAGCTTTGCTGCTAATAGACTAAGGAATTATTTTAAATGAGGGACTTCAATTTCACTTTTTTTTTTAAATGTGTGGTTTCTCAGCATAATATATAACAAGTGGCTGGCTTCACAATTTGTTTAGCTTCTTTTTTCACTTTTTTTTTAGCATGAGAATCTTTCCTGCAGAATTTTTACCCCCCCTCTTTCAGTGTTTTATGTCCTCAGATGGCCTAGAAGGGAGCCTCATACTCTTATATATGTACTTATTAGTATTACTCGTGCATTTGATTGAATGCAAGTTTTTTTTCTTTTGGGGTTGTTGATATAGTCCTTTGTTCAATTTTAAAAGTTTGCACTTGGTGCTAATGGTTTCCTGTTTATTTTTCAGAACATGCAAGATTCCTTCAGCCTCTTGCGATTCAAATGCGCACCCCAACCCCGTCAGGGGCACCAATTATTCTTGCCCCTCGTCTTCCACCACCGCAAGTTGTCGCAACGAATCAAGGCAGCATGAACGGAGCTCCGCCCCCATTGGTGTCGCCCCCGGGGGAACACACAGGACTCCTTTACAACCCTTACACAATGAGCGTCACGTCCAGCATGCATTCGTCCATGGACCCTTACGGACTCGGTGGGGGAACACCATCTATCTTTGAATATCAGACACACTTGGAGCAGGCACAAGCGGGTATGTTAGTTAGAAGAGACTATATCACCGGGATGTGACCCCCTGGCTGACACTTCATAAAATGTGTGTCCTTGTATTTCAACCAAGTTATTTGATGTTTAGAGTGACTTTTTTTGCTTTTCTTTTCTTTTTTTTTTCTTTGTTTTTTTTCCTAAATATTTTTATATTTTGTGATTATAAAGAGCAGTATTCTATTGGCCATCTTGATATACATGTGATTTTTTTTGTTTTCTCACTTGAGAGTATTGAGTTCAGATCCTTAAAATTGATAATTTAACTGAAGTTTGTTTTAAAACTCAAGATTTTTTTTTTTTTAAATAAATTTCCTTGAAATAATTTTCTTTCATATGAGTTTACATTAATTAAACATACACTATTAGTAGTGTTGTCCAAACAGGAAGCCATATAAAACTTATTCAAACATGCTGTAATTTTGATGTTGCTCTTGAAGCCAGTGTTTCTCAAAGTGGTGGTCCATGGAATGACACCAGTCTGCAAGCTCCTAGTACCCCATTCTGTAATTTTTGGGAAAATTTGGAATATGCAATGGCAATTATCTATAATATGTTGCTGTGTGCTCTTCTTCGCACTGAAAAGTTTGAGAAGCCCTGCTTTACACAATGTTTAAGATATGAAATAACTTTCGCTATGTGGTACATAAAAATTTAAGTTGGTCATGATCAATTCAGATTTTTCTCTCCTTCAGTTTTTTGCCCAAACACTTGAGGTGTTTGTTAAAAATTCTCTGTTGAAGTTGCCGTTCTTATGATTTTTTCAATGCTCAAATGTTATACATGCTAGTTATTTTAGTGCGGTTTATCAAAACAAATATTTTGCTTGAAAGTTAATGCATGATTCTTGAGTTCAAAAGAAGACTTAAGTTATTTTGACCTCCAACTCATTAGTTTTGATACAGATTTCAGACTTAAAATCCTTCAAAATGAGTGCCATTTTAATTCTTATAAATTTTCATGGAAAGCGCCCAACCATCCATTCTGTATTTTACACTCAACATTCCCATCAATTTCATTGCTCTTTAATTTGGGGTAGTTTTAACAGAAAAGCTTTGTCAGGCGGCATATTGCAGATTTTTCTGTGTTTAGATCAAGAAGTTAGTTTGTGGCACATGTTCAGATGTAGTTTCATGGTTTCAGTTTATTTAGTTGCTTTGTTCATGATTTGTTTGCATTCATTTAGAAATCCAAACATTCCCAAAGAGTTTTTATTTTGAAAGAGAATTTTCTCATGGTTTTCACTGACTCTACTGTCATTCTACTGTCTAGTTGATCTCAGTAGTATTACTATTTTTAAAATGTTCCCCCCTTAACAACCTTAACCCACATTAACTGCCTGTACGTTATTCTGTCATATGGTCTCTAATTATGGGTTTTTTGTCATTGGTCTTCAGAATTAAATAAAGGTGAAAAAAAAAGTTTGTAGTAAATGATTCAGACATTTAAGAAGTATTTTTTTATGATTATCCTTCCCACGCAAATTTTATATTTTGTACAAAAGAATAGACCTCTGTGATGTAGCCTTATATTGATGTTCCCAGACTTGCACCCACAAGTGAGCTTGAATGTATTGAATTGATAAACCTACAATTTTTTTTAATTGAAAATGACAAAAAGCCTTGAACTTTCTGATATCTAACACTTATTGGGTAGTATGGGTGTATGAGGGAAAAGCTGGAAATTTTTTAAACTGCGGAATATTTCTTAGAATTTTTTGCGTAAAATAATGGAATTTGCATGTCCATTTTTATACCCAAATAAATATATATGCATAATTTGTTTAAATAAAAATGGTTGCATTAACAGATCTGCACGTTATCTTTTTAATGTGACCATTATATTTGCACAAATTAGTATTTCTGGGAATTATACCTATTCTGAATGTAATATTTGCTCAATAGTGAATAGTAAATTTGTACACCTAGAACTGCTCAATCAATGGAATTATACTCAGATAAATATCCCACCAAATATATGCACACGTGTGTTAAAAAATGTCATTGAATTATTCTTGTTGAAATTTCAAACTTTATGTTTTCGTATATTTATACAAAATACAAATAATATTGCATTTAAACAGTATTCAGTCATGCAGACAATAATGGCTATATTTTTATAAAATATAAATATATACACACATGTGTAGATATGTATATATATATATATATATGTAGTGTTGAATAATTATAAATTGTTTTGATGATTAGCCTAACCATTAGTTTTCCATTAAATTTTATAACAAATTAATTAGGTTACTAAGTTGTCTTACTAAGTATTTAAAGCAGTTCAAAGCAAGATTGTAAAAAAAATGTTTCCGTAGGTGATTAAGAAAATCTTTCTCAACAGTGCCTTTTGATTACAAAAAGTTTTTTTTTCAAAACTCATCAGTGATCAAATGACTTACACATAAGTACATATTTAATTGCATACATACACCCCCATCGCGGGTTAAAAACAAACACTACAAAAATAATTTCCCCAAAGGTTTGTAAATTAAATGTACAAACATTTTTTGCATGCTTTAACTGTAAATAAAATGATTCTATTTATTTAGCATCAAGTTGCACAATAGACTTGGAGTTGCCTAAAATGCATGCAGAGTAGATTTGTATAATGTAATGCATGTTACCGATAGCAGAACAGAGTAGTTCATTATGCTTGTGTGTGTGTGTGTGTGACGTGTGACAACCATATGTTATGTCGATAGAAGTGGGTGACTTCGATTCATCATTATTTTAAATTTAAATGTATGTATCGATTTTTAAAGGGGTAATTAATGAATTCCCATTGCAAAAGCATAAAAAGATCAACAGTATTTGACTTTAAGGTAGTAAGTAGTTCATAATATACCCTAGAAAACAAAAAATACATTTAGAGAAAAAAAATTTAACTTAAAAAATATGAGTATATACTGTATCTTTTAATCAACTCATTGAATGCCATTTTTCATTTGCCTTTGGAAAAGGGGTTTTAAGGAAGAAAGAATTTACCCGGTAGATAGTATTTAGGATTTATGCAATGTTAAATTGGGCAATCCATTAGATGGTTATGCAACTTGACATGCATGTCATTACTGATCAACTTTTGGTACCTAACAATGTCTTTCTTCTCATCTTCTCTATCTTAACACTTATTTTTCTAATTAAACTGACCCATTATATTGGAAGTAACGTATTCTTAACAGAAAAGTAACCAATTTCTATTATTTATTTCTCATGTTCACATTTTAACCCAATGCTACACTTAACTCTCAACATATATTTTGTTTAAAAAATTATTATAATAGTAAATGTATTTTAAGCATTTAATTTTGAAAAACAGGTGTTAAAATTGTAAATTTCATTTATTCAGTTGAATACTTAATTAAACAAATTAAAAAAATTTAACATAACACAAAGGTACAATGTGAACATGACATTGATGTTTAGAGTTGACCCAAATGAATTAACATTAACATCTAACACGAAACTAAAACTTTGGCAAAAAGTGCAAATAGCTCGGCTGTGATCTGTTCATTTTATTATTCCAACTCTTGTCCAGTAATTACTTTTACAATTATATGGAAGGAGTGGTCAGTTTTACCAATACTCATATTTATTCTCCTTTCTTTCTCTGTCCTCTCGTTTAATGTTACACTTGAAAATATAATAATATTTTTTTCAAGTTTGCTAGATATCAAGGGTCCACCAAACTTTCTCTCAAACCTATCAATTGTTGACTTTATGCAGGATTGTTTAGTTTTTTGTTCAATTTTTTGTTTGGGACCAGGTTGTTCAAGGTGTTGACTAAAGATTGAGGAGAAATCCTGTCTTCGTTGTTTGCGTATCAGATCCTAAATGCATACTGCTCGAGAATTGTCAGAAGATTTGATTTGATCTAATTGCATTATTTTCTTTCCCATTGACTTTTGCTCAAATTCATAGGAAATGAATGTTGTTTTATACAAACCTGTCATGGCTGCAACTTCTAATGTGATTTTTAAAAACAATTTATTGCCACTTAAGAGTCATTGGTGCTCTAAGAATATGTCTGACTGGTTTTATTTGCTCAATTTTTGTTCCCTACCTCTGTCAGTGGTTCTCATAATATTGTGTAATGAATGAAATATTTTAAAATTCTAAATTATTTTGTTTTTTTGTTTTTTGTGGTCTTGATTCATTTTGACTAAGTCTGAGATATACGACAAAGCTGATGCCAATATGGGCTGTACAGTGACTGATGAAGCAAAGCTGTGGAAAATATAAGCTATTGTTTTTAAAAGATATATACTCAACATATGTGATGGATTTTTATAGGTGGCGTCCAAAAGATGAGAAGAACAATAGAAGGTGTGAGGGCTCACCCATACACTAGAGTTTCATTGTCATAATGTAGCTGAAAGGTTAGTTGATTTTGTTAACATATGCTCAGTCATCTCATTCAATGTCATCTGCTTTTTTGTTTTTGCATTCATGAAACTTTTCTTTCACAGCCTTGTTCCCTTAGTTAGAAAAACCTTTTATTTTTTGTATACAATATGTATGTCAATAGGATTTTGTTATTCACCCAAATCATGCTGTTTTCAACCACACTCTTTGATATTAAATTATGTACTTGCAATAAGAAATATTTCCAATGTTTGGGTCAGAAAAAGAAATATTAAAGCAACAATACATGTGAATACTTTGAGCAAATTTACCTTCAACAGGAGCATCATCTTTCCATAGTTGTAAAAGCTTTTCTGTGCATGTTGCTCATGTTAGAAATTCAAGTCAACTCATCTTTAAATGCTCTTATAGTAAATATCTAAGCAGATTGTGACAGACTATTGAACGATACTCCAAAACTAGGATTCCTAGATATTTAATGAATTCGTTGTTATTTGTAATGGTTGTCAAATCAAAATAAACTTGTGCAATTGTTGTCTATATTATTATATATATTTTTAGAAATAAAGCAATCATTTATTTTCCTCAAGTCTTGGTTGGATATTTTATGATCAGTTGTTTGAAGCGCGGCGCCCCCCCTCTCTTTTCACCCCCAAACAAACTTGATACTCTTAGCATACCATTTGGTGATGGTAACATGTTGATTTATTCAACATTTTCAGGACAAATGGAACATTTAGATTTATAAAGTAACTATTTGTACCTCAATTTTCAGTGTTATAATAATTCATTGTGTAGAAATTTTACACATACCTGGTCTGAATTATTCAGCAAGTCTTGCAGTAGTTTAACACAATGTTTTCTTGATTTCAAAAGTAAACCTTTCAATATATGTACACTTGAGCAAAATGTATCTGTACCACAACACTTAATAATAAAAAGTAGAATAATAAAAGTAAGAAATTGTTGTGAACAATAACATAAAATCTTTTAATGTATGTAAAAATCAAATTTTACCTTAACCCTGCCCCTAATTTAATTTTATTTCTAATACATAATTTAAGTGATATCTGGAAATAACACTAAATGGGATATTTTTATGGTGGTTGTGCTATGTCTCTAGTTAGGTTCTGATAATTACAAAGTTGGAAATCTAGGCCAAATTATTCAATAGCATCTTGAGTATCAACATTTAAAAAAAAAATTATACTCTTACATTAGCAGATTAGGGTAGGAAATGGTAGAAAGCAAAAATAGAATGCTTTATAAAAAAAAAATGCATGCATATTTTATTTTTAAAACTTTGTCCCCAAATCATTATTCAGTTCTATATTTATCAAATTTAACCACCTTTAGCCAAGCCTTTTTAGGTTCATTTTTTTCTTCCTTCTTCCATCCCTACTCTGAAAGCATGATATCTTTGCATGTTTCATCACATTGACATGATTTTATTTGCTTACATGATTGCCCATTATTATATACTTTATCATCAACATTGTGGTGCTGATTTTTTTGGTTGTAATATACAAAAACAATTAATGCTTTGAGTATTTTGTTACATCTTTAGATGTGATAATTATACAATGTAATAAATTCAGTTTAACCCTAAAGCCTAATAATAAATTATGCAACCCATTTATTCAATTTACTCTAAACTTGTCAAATGCTATTTAATTGCACTGATTATTAATAATATTCTTAATAATGAAATGCTTATTTATTTTTTTTTTTTTTTATTAAACTTCAAATTGAATGACCCTTTAAAAACAAAGCTAAAACACACCTTGTAAGGTAATAATACTATTCTATAGAAATACTTAATAGTCACTTGTATAATATCTGTAGCCGAAATCCACTAACTCCATTTTTTTTCCATTTCATTTTGTTTCATTAACCAAGCTGGCAACTAACCACCTCGTGCCTTCGTCTCTGTCGGCCGATCGGTCTGTTTGTGGTGGGGACAAAATGTTGGCCGGGTCACTCACTTCTGTGCTGCTCTTCTTTCCTGCGGGGGTGTCCTTGTGTTACAAGACATGCCCTGCCTGCAACCTGTTCTAGCTGCCTTGGACTAACATGACCAGCGTTGGGATAGAGGAAGATCCAAGTGCACATATTTAGTTTTTAGTTTTTTTAATTATGTCTGTACAGTGAGCGAACATTTCAACCTGCACCTGCCCACAATTTGTTCACCTTGTTCTGCATCCTCAACAAATTTATTGACCTTTTAATAAGTTCTTTTGTATTATGGAATTTTTTTTCAACCCACCTTTTTTTGTACTTTTATTTGTATTATAATACCAGATTAACATGTTGTATAACCTTATAAATTAAAAAAAAAATGATTAAATGCTCATAACTGCTAATGCTGGGTTAACATTGATTTGGTGTGCTATGTAAAATATATAAATATTTTTTTTTTTCAAATTGCGATGTCACTAAAATTTGGACACACCATTTCAATGAGGTTATTCTGGCTATGCAGGATTTTTAAGTGCCTGAATTTTATTTCAAACTGCTGCTAACTATGCTGAGTCTTAGGACACGAGTCTATTTAAAACTTAATCCCTTTTTTTTAAATTTTTTTTTTTAAATTTTTTTTTATAAATACGTTTTTTAAATATAAAGTTAATAAAAAAAATAACGCCTTGCAAATTATAAATAAAATGCTGTTTGTATTTTGAAACCAATTATAAATGGAATAAAAAAAGTCTTTAAAAATTTATTATTTTTAAATTAACTATTAAATTGCTAAGATATAAAATGATCCTGTCCTATGACCCAAGCATGATAATATTGATATTAAACACGATTGAACTGTTTGTTTGACCACAAGGTGAGCTCTAGAAAGGGGTATTTTCTTAATCTCTAAACCTGCATTGCTATTGATATTATGGTCATGTTAATATTTTTCTTCATCATGTCATTAATTTACATGTTCAAGTGGAAAAAGAGTGAATGCTTTTCTTACGTTAAGTTTAAAAGCAGCGGAGGAATAAAAAATAAATTTGGTTTTTAACACACACGTATACACAAAACTAATCTGTCAACTTGTAACATAGAATGTTCTGTATATTTATCAGTAACAATGTAATCCTGTATACAATGAGAGGTTAGTGACTAAAACACCATTGTAGTGTTTCTATTGTAACATTTGAGAGACCAGTGACATTATAGCTATAAAATTTGTATCGTAATGATGAAAGGTTAGTGTGCATGTCTGAGATGAGATTCTTTGTACAAATCAATTATTGATGATGGGTTGTGTTTTCTTTTAATTGCCTTGACCGCCCCCCCCCCCCGCTAGTTATCCCAGAACTGTTATGTTATGTTATATCTTGATTTCACTTTCACATCTCAACTTTTTTTAGAGGACTTGTTCAGACTTTAAAAAAAAAAAAGATATTTAATTAAACCTTAGGAAGACAGTATTTTTACATATCCTTTTTGGTCCAGCTCTTGATAAAATAGACCAAAAAAAGTATTTAATTTTTTTCTACAAACATATCAAACTAGCTTACGGTTATATCATATGGGCACATGAAGGGAACAGACCAAGATCATAGTCGATGACTCCTTACTAGTATTAATATGTCACTAGAGAAACCTTAAAAGTGCATTTAGTTTTGGTCACATTTTATAACAATGGTTGTAATTTAAAATAATAAAAAATATCTATATATAAAATATATTCAGATATATATTTTTTTGGTTGCAATTCCATAGATTCCAATTTATTAGGTTCTGGAATATTCAGCTCCCATAACTCATTAATGATTGTATTAGAAATTATCAAAGTATTTTCTTGGAATAATTGCTCAGTTATCTTACATGTGTTCACATTTTTTTCTCTCATTTTCTCTTCCCATTTTACAGTAGCTTTCACTGAATATATTTCTGAATTTTTTAGCTGCTATTAACAATTAAAACTTTTTTTTTTTTTTTTACAGCTCTAATGAATTTAAATTTGTACACCACCCCATCCCCCCCACTATTTTTTTTTTTTTTTTTTTACTGCTTTTATTAATTTAATTTTTTTCACTTCCCTTTCCCCCTTTTTATTTTTTTTTTTTTTGTTTTTTTCATTTTTTTTTTTTTTTTATAAAAAGCACAAATAAAATCAACTATGCAATTGTTAAGTATTAGTGCTATCAAAGATAATTGGTTTGTTTATTCCTGTTTCTAGTATTTAGAAAATCAAAAAATTAAAGTGAGATAAACATTTATTTTTTTTAACGTCGTAGAAAGCCACTGATGCAATGATATTTAATTATAGAAAGACCATTTATTATGGTATCATTAAATATCACATATTCAGCCAAAATTCAAATTTAAACATTTTACGTTTGAAATTTCTTTTTTAAGTTCACAAATTTAAACAAATCAAATTGTTTAATTATATTGAAATCATATCAAATGCTACAGTTTCTTTGAATTTAAAATCATTATTCCAAGGAAATTGTACACACATACTCTATACCATATCAAAATATCTTTTAAAATCTATACATTTATATTGTTTTTGTTCAATGACAGTGGTGCAACTTGTGGGTGGAAAAAAATATCTGTGGCTAGAAGTAATTAAAACTGTTACATGTATCATATCAATTTTCACAGCAATGTTTGCAACTTTTGTCTTGTATCATTGAGAGGGAGCCAACAAGCTAACTGTTTGATAAAAATATAAAATGTTATTTTTTTTTTAGCTGGAAGATACCCCATGCTAATATAGATTCCCGAAATGTGCCGATTTACTTTTAACCAATTCTTGATATTGTGATCTCAGATTTACATTTTTATCTTAATTTCTCTTCTGGAGCAATCTGATTTAATCATATCATTAATCATTTCTTCCCCCTCTAACAAAAATATATGGCCCTAAGAATGTTTACAAATATTATGTTATTGAGCACTCAAGTTTTTATGGACTAAATTAATCCCACTGGTCAGACTAGTAAGATTGCAGAGTAATTTTTAAAGGAATGGAAATGACCCTAAAAATTAACCTTTGCATTTTTGTAATGAACACAAAGAAGTAAACTGCTTGAAAATTTATAGTAAAAAATCTAAACTAACCAAAATTTAAATTATTGCAGCTAATAACAAGATGCTCCTCTAACCCATTGCTCACTAATATTAAAACTAGTTATGCAATGGCAGTAGATGCTATGTTAAGATTTTTTCTTGTTACACATTTCTGCTGAACGCTAAAAGCAATGTGGCCACATATGCAAGCAGGGTTTGATATACACAACAGTTTTGTCTTTACCGATGTTTTATGAAGGTCTATCACGTTGCAAGTGACAGCTTATATGAATTACTTCTTTTTTTAAATATCAGCATTTGTCAAAACTTAATATCTCAGATACTTAACTTTAATGTATTGTTTTATTAAATTTATACATAAGTTGTTTTTTTTTTATTATCCCTGGAAGGATTTCCTTATTGAACTTGATGTTCACAATGTAGGACTTAAATTATATTTTATTTACATTTGCTGTGTGCAACTATTCCAGCATTGAAGATTTCAGCTTGTGATAGGTCAACCAAGTGCCTTGGACTGTTTTCTTCAGTATTTTAATTCGTGATCCTAACACCTACTTACAGATCAAACCTTAACTCCGGCCATTCAATGTTTATATAAACTTCAGTAACAAAGAGAATCAAATTATATTTGTATTTTTTCATTTTTGTGTATAATTGTACTCTATTCATTGCCACTTGCTACTGCTAGTGTCAATCTTTGAAAGATATCCCAGATTTCCCTGCTCCCAAGTTAACAAAGAGTTCTATATTTTCTAAAGCTTTATTTTCTTGGTTGTCATATTCAGTGCATAATGTCACAACATGTGTTCCTGTAGATGAATTATGATTAATTTTGAATTTTATAGTTAAAAAAAAGATATACATATAAAACATATATGGCAATTTTATTTTGTGGATGTTTTCCGAATCTCACTGACATTTGATGAAATCTTTCCCCTTGTATGTTCTAATACTCATGTTAATGACATTAGCCAACTCCAAGATTTGCTGCTGCTACTACTACTATTTTTGTCTTGTGGTTTAATTGAATTTTGTTTCCTCCATTTGTTTTAGTGTATACCTAACTACTCTGCTGAGCTATGTAACCAATTTAACAAATATATAATCACACCTTATTTAAACTAATAAAAGAGGATTTTCCTAGCCCATTGGTTTGCAGTATTTTTCTTGCCTCTAACTTGCCTTTTACTAAAAAAAAAATCTCTAACAAGTCATATTTTGATTTCTTATGCCAAAATATGCTCGTATGTACTGTAGTAACCATATATTATCACATCCAGTATAACAATTTTTTCCTTTGTGTTTAAATATACTTAAATTTTGGAAACAGTTAATATATCTAGTTTTTTTATTTCTTAAATACATTGGCAGGCTGAAAAAAAAAATGTAGAAAAATTAAACTTATTTAATTTTTGTTTTTTTTAATCTGAGAAGTCATTGATAGTTTTTCTATTTTTGGAAATAATCCATTAACATATCTGCGGCCATGCTGAAGGATATTAAGAGTAGAACAATAATAAGTATATTGCAGAAAATATCCTGCCTTCCATTATAGCTATCTTTCTAACAAGTGCCATGTATGTGAAAGACATCCATGGCCACATGGTCAGTTTCTACAAACTACCAGAAGCTTTCAATATCACATTGATTTAATATTCATAAACACAGTTGTTGCCTGCATATTAGGAAGAAAGAAAAAAATACTACCTCTTGGTTATTTGAAAACTACTGGTGAAATGTGTTTAGAAAACTTACATACTAAGGTATAGTGTGCTGATTGCTGATTTCAAGTCTAACTTGGAAGGGTCATGGGTTTCATATATAACACTGCTTGACTTACATAGCGATGGTTGATGGTATCAAAACAAACAAAATTTACACTGAGAGGAATTTAAAAAGAAAACAAACACAATATGCTTGCATGATATTAATTCTTACCATTAATCTGGCTACTAATCTTCATCCGATTACTGTGCACTCACTGTTTGCCTTAGCATTTCATGACATCACATGGCAACATTTCTATTTAGTTGAATGTCTCATTGCACAAGTTTTTGATTCAATTTCAAATTACCAAGAATAACCAAAAAAAACATGCACAAACATTTCGTACACTTTTCAGCTAAACGAACATAACCTAAACACCAACGTAAACTATGTTTTTTAACACCCATAAATCAATTATTCTCTTGGCTAAAACTATTTTGTTAACATTGTTGCTAAGAATCAGAATTTCAATATCCTTTTTAATGCTTAAAAATGTTATTTAAAAAATTAATAACTAACAAAATTAATCATGTGCTTTTAAAAAGTCAACTAATTTAGTTGTTTGAAATCTTTAGTCCAACAATTCTAACGCCATTTATTTAACTGCTTAAATTTTGACTGGTCCTCACCCACCAATAATCATGTTTATATTTTGTGTGCATCTGTGCACTATAACCTAGTGATATAGGTCATATTTTTATTGAGGGTAAGACCACTGGTCCTTTCATATTTATTTTTTTAATCACATAAGCCCAATTCAATGAATTCTCTAGACTAGGCAACTGGCAACGACGCTCAGGGTACGGTACATTTTTCACTTGTGACTTTTAAATAATGATGTTCTTCAAAAAAAAAAAAAAATACAGGCTGTAATGAGGAACAGTGATAAACTATGCACAAAAAATGGTCAACAAATTTATTCTGCCTTTTTGCCCACTGCTCAAATGCATTTTTGTTATAACCATTATACAAGGTTGTAATATTCATAATACTGTCACTATAAACTCTATATTTGGACTAGTTTAACCACACTAATTGCATAATAAAGTAGGCACAGTTTATGCTACATTAGAAGTAGAAGTCTTTTGACAAGTTAAACCAGACTTGGCTGCCACTACTGGTACACATGTAACCAGTGCATATGTAACCGGTACGTACGTAACCGGTGTGTTTTTGAGTGTGAGCTAAATCAAAGCCCATCCTGGTAAACCAATTTGAATAACTTTAACCACATATTGTTTGTTACCTTATGTGTGTGCGCGCGCCAATGTTCTTTTCACTTCAGTGTTGTGTTGTAAATGTTTAGACCCACTTATATCTGTTTATTTATACTATTACTATTATACTGCATTGCTCAAGTGTACAGATCCTCAAAGCTCCTCTATATTGTGAATGTTTTATTTTGAAATCATTTGGCAAAGTCCATGACAACTCATCTCCACATTGTTTTGCTCACATGGGCCTTCCCTATACACAAATGATA